CCCGGAACCGAACTTCGGAACTTCACGGGCCGGTGAGAGTTCTCCGTTTCCTGTTTTCTGTCACGATCAAAATCAGAAATTCTTCCGAGCTCGGATCTTCTTCTGCAACACTCGCCTCGGGAGTTTGTTCGTTTCGCCTTTTAGAAACGACCCCACGTATGCTATCGTTTCGACTGGTTGGGGCAGAGCATCGGTCTTGGGTGCATGGGTCGCGGCGCTCCGACACTCGGCCTACCAGCTCGCGAGCGCGCCCCTGCGGTAGGAAGCCCGATGGCTGGCCGAATCGAACGAATTCACCACGCTCGTCGGTGCACTACAATTAAATGACTCCAACAACTACTTGGTATTCCAAGCTTCAAGCCGTTCCGGAGTTGCTCTCTGGGTCCCGACCCTACTCGTGCCACGCTTCGGACAGAGGCGACCCCAGGTCGGCCACCGATGCTCCTCAAGCATGACAGTCGTGCTCGTCCTGTTGAACTTCCTGGGTTGTGAGCAGGAGGCGCAATGGTGTAGAGCTTGCTCTTGGTGCTCTGAAGGTTCGAGTCGCTCTTGATTCATTCTGAAGTCACGCTGCCCAAGTCCGCGAAGCTCGATTCGCTTCATTCAATTTGTACGCGGGTCGTTCACGGTTTTTCCGTCGCGACTGCGTCCACGCACCCGTCTGACCGGGCAAGAGAGTCTTTGCGGGGCTGAAGCGAGCCATTTGATCTGTTGCGGCTGCTCGAAGCACCCGAAGACGTCGGCCATGGCATAGCGACTGTATATCCATTGCGAGCGATAGCTGGTTGACCCTCATAACGCGAGGGAGTCGACGACCACTGAATCCACGAGCGAGAATTGATCGCAACGAGGTCGATCATCGGCTTGACTCACTCAGATAGTCGTCCCGCGCACATCAACGGCAAACAGCTGTTAAGGGATTCACGGCACGCGAAGAACTCGCCATTGCGACGTCGTGCGATCTTACGCCCAGTCGTTCGTGCGTTCGTCCGTCCGGAATATTGACTTTTCGTGGATGATGGAATGCTAGTGTAACAGTCCATTTCTGCCAACATTTGTGGGCGGCCGATGCTTGGGGGTCCTCTCATATGATCACTGATTAATTCTGAGTAGAAAATCCCAGGAATCTCGGAGAAAAGAATCTAGTTTCGCCACGTCTGACGACGTTGCTGCTTTCAACTTTTCTGCCGCACCGCCCTTCCAAGTCCAATTTCCGTTTGACTAAGAAGTTCTGGCAGCAACGTCGGTGCAGATTCCGGCGACTGAGTTCTACGATGCGGTTTCGTTCTTCCCATCGAGCATTGTTCTCACCTGCTCCCATTAGTAGAAGCGTGGGCGCCGCGCGCGCCGTACGGGAGCCATTTGCTGTTTGATAAGACTCGGGTGTCTCCGGGGAACCGAATGATATGGTCTGCGTCGGGCAGCATCCTTATTCAAGAAAATGAGGTGTCTAATCTTCACGAAATAGTGAACGACAAAGAGATTAACAAACCATCCCGCGGAGGCGGGCCTCTCCCACCACAATTACCACTGGCTCTATTTGTCATGACTTTCTCCGGTCGTTATCTCTACCCAAAACCTGGTTCTTGTTGCTTTTCTTGCCTCTTCCGATCATTATTCCTCTCCGCTATCACGATAGTCGGATTTGTCTGAAAAACATCGGGTGAACTCGTAGACCGACGCGTTTTTCAAACTGGAAGTGAGGAGTCCGCGAGGAATGCGCTGCGAGACATAATTTTCTGATTGGTCCAATTGGGCAAAACCTCTAGAAATGGGCAGTTTTATAAAAATTGTCCCGAGAATGAGCTCCCAAGACGAGTGAGATAGAATAATTTCAATCACAACAACGCCGCACAAGGATTGTTGATGGCTCTGCCCTCGGCCATATTTTCGAAAGCTCGGTCTTATAAAATTTTTAGATTCTCTGAAAAAACGTCCCGATGAGGATCCGTAGGACGATTCGTGACCAGTTCCGGGAACCATCACAATACCAAGTACCTATATCTCTCCTTAATCTCCCGTTCCCTGATTCCTCAACTTTCATCTGTCATTCGCTCCTATCCTGTGGTTACCGCGTGATCACCGTGGTCGACGGCAGCGGAAAACGGTCCTGAGAGCTTGCGGACGGAAAAACTGGGTCTCAACGGGCGGCATGCGGGCGCGGCCAGTCCGAGGCTAATATCATGATCAGCGCGTCATCATCTTGTCAAAAGCTCCATACGGTCGGAGGGAGGAGAGATTCGCCCCAGGCCGACATGCTACGGATTTTCGAAAGAAAAGCCACAACCCTCGTCCCGTTGCCCATCGCTCTCCCTAACATCCTCTATCGTCGGAACGAGGCTTGATCCACCGGAGTTTAGGAGTCACGCTAGGGACTCGTTGATAATTCTGTTCTCAACCGGGTCTCGATCTTTTTTTCTGTCGGTCGCCAGTGTTCTCCTTAAACGATGGAGATTAAGAGCAGGAATGGGAGCTTTCGTTCGTATGCTGCTGCGGCTGCTGCTAACTGTGAGCGAATTACCTAACTTACTCGGTGTGAATAGCCGCTCACGGGGATTTTCTTGCAAAAGTTTCCCCGCTTTCCCTCTCACAAGAAACAACACCAACACTACTATTACTACGAGAAGCAGCACCACTCCCTGTTCTTTGTATTTTTCTGGGTTCCTTTGGTTCGCTTGTTCATGAATAATTCAGACTCTGCGTGGCTGAAGTCCTGCCGTATAGCTAGCTGCCTGCGCGAGAGGAAGAAGGAGAAGGCCGTGCTTTTTGCAGCTCGTTTTGCTCCTTCACTTAGCCTTTGCCATCTATCGCCGGCTCAACCTATTGTTCGAGTTTTGATCCAGTGTTCTGGAACGCTTCCCGGAACCCTGTCTCGCGTCTAGGATCCGCTCACCCGTCCTCTTCCGCGACGTGTCGATCCGCCGAGCCCTGACGAGAATCTCGAGGAATACCGCGTTGCCAAGAGAAGCCCGACCGACGTTTTCAAATAGAACATGCGGGCATTCATCGAAGTGACGATCTCATGCTTCATGCCTAATTGATTCGCGGTCTATGAATGCTACTCATGTCGCGCCGAATTCTGCTTTTGACTGCAGCTCTTGTCGGCTAGCCAGCACCGAAAAGCGTGGTGTTGTAGTCGCCAGAGACTCCGCTTATCGAGTCGCAGATAAAAGCACCGGACGTTTTTCCGGGAAGCACTTCATCTTCACCTCTGTGGAATCGGAGCCGCTACTGCTTTGATAGCGCGACTCGGAGTCAGTATCGGAGCTCCGGTACGGGAGCGGGGTAAAGGCAGATGGGGTGGGGGGGGGCGTGGAGGATGGCAGGGAGGCGGGCGGGCCGGTGTGTTCTGGATATGGGATTGAAGGCTCCGGAACGGTCGGTATGGGGGCAAAATGTCGTCTGCGGCCGAAAGGAAGAACACTCATTAGCAGTCGTAGATTAATACGTCGGCTAATTGCAATCCGCGCTTCTCGACCTCTCAATACGACGACCCGCTGATGTAGTCCCGCTCGTCGTCGTTTTGGTGTATGTACGCTGTCGGGACTGCCCGAGCGGACATCCGAACGTCCCGTCGCAGAGTTCCCCTTCCGATCAGTCTACGTCGGTCGTCGTCCCCTGCTGGGTAGCAGGATCAGTAGCGATGGTCAAATGGAGATGAACTCACCTCATTATACACGTTCTCGAGGCTTGGTTCTTGCCTTTTTTCCCTCTGTCCAGCTTCGATCAAGGTCTCCGCACAACTATACGGATTTGCGGATAGATAGACGACAGTCTCTCCTCTCGGCTCGCGATTGGAATGTATCGAAGCCGAGGGTACGGGAGACGAACCTCCGGTCGGAGCTCGCCGGCCCTATCACAGAGAGAAGTTTCCAAGTAATGATTTTGATAGTCTGAATAATAATGGCTCCTGATGAGGTCCCCGCAGAAACCGCGGTCGTCACAGCATCCGAGGGCACACTATATTTCCGCTTATTCAGTGATGGGTTTTAGCGGTCCAGCTATGATATTCGCAGATGCGCTCGCGGCTCTGACGTGTATGAGGACCGCAGCCGCGGCTCATCTCGAGGGAGACCCAGGGAGGTGCTGCGAATCCAGCCTCTCTGGATTTGGTCAGTTCGGGAGGGCCCAGGTAGTTGCTTCGCAGCAAGAAACGCCTGGACCGAAGTGCCATACATCACCGGCATTCGGCCGCGTCACCAGGATTGCTCTCGGAGTGGAAAGTTTAATCGAACTCGCTCTGACTTCGTCGATCCCCAGATATTCCCGAGTACCTGAATGTAATTCCGCTCCGAAGACTATCAGGTCCTACCAAGGGAGAATTTCGCATGATACCACGAATATTTCGTGAGATGCGACTCGTCGTCCGTGAAGTTCCGACGATATTCCGAAACCGGAGCGCTCCCGAGGGCTGCCGATGTCGATCCAAGAGAGCCGACGGATAGCAAGGAAGCAAGCGGAGCGATGACAGGAGAAGACCCTTCATCCAGCGAGAGCTCGTTCCCGTGTCATCCAGATTTCTTTGATGAGCTATTGAGACTTATACGGATCAATGAAATCATAATCATGACCATGACGGATGAGAGCGGATGGCGTGCCTCTGCAGTCTGTGTAATACACAATCAACAATCGTCGCTATGGTACCATTGTTGTATGACTTGATATTTTTCTTCGCGTGTCACTTTCCTTCACTGCGGAGCTATTGTGAATTGCTTGAATCAGCTCTCGGGATCGGATTTTTCTTGCTGCTTCTTCGCTCCATTCTTGTAGATGAAACCCTCCCGCGGGCTTTAGAATCAAATGTTTGCGTTCCTCCCGAAAATCGACGAGGGACTCGACGAACGAGGCCGACTTACACGCGGGCTGTACTTCGACATCTGGAGACGAAGATGACGATCATTCATGGGGGAAAATTTTCGTCGTGATTTCCGCTCAATCGAGAAAGGCCTAATGATCAGCGCCACTGTCCACGAATAATTTCTCTCCTCTTTCATTTGCAGATGGAAAAGCAGTGCACCATGTGAAGAGCAAGCGACATCGAGTTGAGATTTCGATGTCTCGACACTTCATCTAGTCACCTCACAAACCAGAAGCATGAAGTTTTCGCTCAACCACAAACGGGCGCTCACCAAGTTCTTCAGGTAGGAAGTCCCGGGAGACTGCATTCTTCCACGGAGCAAAGTAATCGAAACTATCGGGTGGAGATGCGGAGCATTTTTCAAAATTCCAATCGACATCAGCGATCGACAGTGTCGTGGTGCATCCTTGCTTCCAGGAGGGGAATGTGCCGTCGGGGAAATTTCGACTCGATGGAGTATTTGCGACGAAAAAAAACAGTAAAGAAGGCGACGTCGACGGTTGAGTGTCTCAGTGTCTTATCGGCGACTGGAGCCGCGTGAGAAGTTTCGCGACCTGTGTTGTGCGGAATATGATGACGATATGATAATGAGGTGGCAAAAGCGCGGGAAAATTGAAACGGTGCCGAATCTGCCGCGACGGGGGGAATTCGCGCAAATTCCGAAGCCGATTCCGCTTGTTCGGAACGCGCTCATCGCTCAAGTAGCTTCTGATTTCGCTGCGCTACAAAGACTGCTGTCGCTTCCATGGCAGCGAACGTGGGAATTTCTATTGTTGTTTCGGTGGGAAATTTTGATTTATCAGCTAGTTTTGTTCTCCCTCGTCATCATTCGCACTTGAAATCGTAGCCCACGCTCTTTTCAATGCGGTCGAGCATGCTCGCACTTATGACGCTCGACGCAACCAGTCGGATCGATGACCGCGCTGAATGTGGAGAAATATGGGGCTCAGTCAGCGCAACTCCGAATCGATAAAATCTGGAATCTCTGCTCATTTACGTGACATCATGGCTGGGTAGGTGTAGGTGAGGGTGTCTGTCGACCACAAGATCGGCTCACGCTGAGGGTGGACACCGGACGGACGAAATAGCGAGGATTCGACTTTCACGTTTGAGCACGTTGTCAACTCTGACATGGACTGACGGTTCATTTGAGTTTTCCGCAAGCACGGCAACTACGGCACCGCTGACAATAATAACGGGGATGGAAGCTCTTAGGGCACTGCGATGGGGTTTTTGTTCAAAAAAACCCTGAAGGGTTGGGGGAGGAGGATTTCAATTCATGTGACTCGACTCGAGTGTGAGTTATTTCAAGAGCATTCCAGCGGCTTCTACGGCATCGCTCGCTAGACACAATATGCTAAGATCGAGGGACTTACTGCTCGCTGTATTTCCTCGCCGGACCGCCGGAATCTGTTGTCGACGGAATTTCCAACATGCAGTTCGGTGTCGGAGTCCTATCTCGTCCTCCCATATCGCTATTAGAGGACAAAACATAACTCTTCACGAGTCGATGGGGAACTTGGCCTTCCGGGAGCAAAATTTTCATATCGGGTAGATTATCGCTCTTCTGCTGCTCCTCCGGCCGAATACAGAAAACCCTTTCCCTGGATCCGCGTGGGGTCCGGACCGTAGATCTATCGTTCGCCCAATCGTGAGTGTAATCAGTGTTTCGCTCATCTAATTAGGCTCTCATTTTCGCACCGCAGTCCTCAATCAATCAAGTGACTTTAATCAATTAATCCCTCATGCCCGCTTATCTGTTATCCCTGGTGGCCAGTGTTGACGTTTTTGCTCCGTTAGGGCGCGTGGTAGCGTGCTACCTCGATACGTGACTCGCTGTTTCGGTGATTGATTCAAAGGAGGACTGATCGATATTACTCGGTATCACTTTATTGTCCGACTAGGCGACTTTGTCTCCAGAGACGCTACAGATGAGGGTGCTGCGGTGAGAGGTTGCTTGCTCGTCCGAGTGGACCCGGGCCGAGACGCGGGAACGACCGGCCGGCCGGTCACTCGCCGATCGAAACAAATTGGGACGATCCTCGTTGACAGCTGATACATGTTTGGCGTCCGGCATTTTGACCGCTTTTTTTCGACTCTGTGCTCAACCAGGCTCCCGCTCACCGTCGCGGTTCGTGTTGTTTCCCTGCCGTCAACAAGCGCCACGACAAACAAAAGCTCCGGCGGTACCACGACAGCAACTCCCATGCGAGCTCAGACACGCTCGTTGGGAGCGTCAGTGTTTTCGAAGGGCCGTCTGCGTGTCTGTTCATACGAATGTCAGAAAAGAAGCCGCGGTCTATCGAATTGGCAACAAGTCCAGCGGGGTTGGCAGGCCTGGCGAGGAGCCGTAGCATGGACTTGTTGCTCATGACGACAGCGACGACGACCGGGACGGAAATCAGCGTAGATTTTCGAAACTGTTATTCGGGGTGGAGTGAGCCGCTGTTGGCAGCCACCGCCCGTCTTTTTGTCTTTCCTACGGTCGGTTTGTCCGACCTTCACTCTTTCGGTCAGACAGACGCCGGTCAGTCAATCAATCAGAATGAGAGACTGCGGAACCGTCGCGAGAGACCGACTCCGGGATGAGCCGGAGATCGATGATTGGATGGATGGATGAATTAGCGAATTAGGGGATATTCGTATCGATGCATGAATTCACGGCCGAAATGAAGGGGGATTGGCCACTCACTTTCATGATTTCATCCCTGGATCGCCTGTGATTAGTCGGAACAGATGAAAATCCGTCCCGCGTAGAGATTCCTTCGATGAATTGACAAAATCCCAGGAAATCAAGATAGCTGAATGGACGACGCAACACGTTGCTCTCCCTACGGATCTCATGGTATTCCCTGCTTGATATAATACACGAAAACACTTTCGGAGATTCCGGCTCACCTACGAGTTGATTGAAGATTTATCGAATGATGGACCCAAGAGATGAAAAGACGAAGCAAAGAGCGATGGATTTGCGCGGCGGAAAGTCAGACTGATCGGCAGAGAGACACCCGGACGGTCTGATGATTGGTCTTCCCATCGGACCCTCGAGCCGATGGCCCTTCGGAAAATTCATTCGACCGCGGTCACTCCGCCGTTTTCTGATTGAAAGTCGCCTCTCGAAAGCAACGAGAGCTTTGCGAAGTGCTTGAACCAGAAAGTGGGGAAGGACAAAGGAGGCTAGCTGCCGATTCAGTTGCTTCTTTAGAACAGTAGAAAACGACGACGGAGACGACCGAGTGAACGAGCGCCGGTCGCGACGCAGGCAAAAGCATCAGGCAATGTCAGCTGTGATGATGATCGTCTTCATCAACATCGTTCGCCGTTACGTCGACGTAATGACGAAGATGGCCGACCGGTCACTCGCTCGCTCGTTCGCTCGGGGTATCTCCTCGGCTGATTCTTTGGCGAGTCGTCGTGCCGCTGGTAACAGCGACCGTTGTACGGACGACGAAGAGCGGACAGATAGATGAAGCACAAGCGAAGAACAAGAAGAACTTGGTCAACGCGCCGCCGTCGTCGTCGTCTTCGGCATCGTAGTCGTGGACTTTGGGCTCGATTTATCAACTGGAACTTGGGATAGAGCGTCGTCTAGTGTTGCCGCTTTTTAGCGCAGCGACTTTAAGAGGAGACTCGCAAGCTCTCGGTTTCAGTCGTCGGAATGACGTTTCTCTGGCTGGCTGGCGGACCGAACGGTCGCGTTCGCTCACTCGTCATCCGGTGATGGCTCTGTTTTATCGCATCGCCGTCAACTTATCTAGGGGTAACGGGATCACGTTCGGCACGAGCTGACAAATGAGAGAAGATGGAGTAGATGTCTTGCAGCAGAAGACAATGAGGATAATTAACGCAGGAATTCTGGCCAGAAAAAGAAACTCCAAGTCCGAGTCTCGGGCGGGAATTTAGGAAAGAATCGTGGAAGAAAATATGGAAATCCCGGGATCGGAGAACCGTGTGTTTCACGGCAAACGTGCCGACGCCTTACGTCTTTCCATGATTTCTCCGAACAGAACATGCCTTTGTACTTATTGATTAACGCCCTTATTATTTATTATCAACATTCATTATTAAAATTATTATTTACACCCATGAAGACTCTAATTTTCTCCGATTCCGATCGAGGGCTGACGAGTTCTATGATAAATCCCGAAGAGCTCCTACACTGGGATTATTAAACAAATTACGCCGGAATAGCCAGGAGGATCAGAGCAAATACGAACGAGGTCTAACAGAATTTCTCCGTTCGTTACAGATGTCTGGTGATTGTGATTCTGTCGGGCACGGTGTGCGTAAACGTCATGTTCATCATGGACGTCAATCACAAACTCAAAGAAGAAGGTCTAGACGATTCGATAAATTCGCTCGCCGCCGGCGATTCAGTTGACCTCACGCCCCGAGCCCTCACAATTGAAGTATTCTCATCGCATTCGAAAGTCAGCGTCATTGTCGACGGAACTGTGGTAAGTAGACCCTCTTGAGGTCGCTCTCCTTGATTCGAGAAGACCAAACAAGTCGATCGGATCGATGAGAAAAGTAACATATCGAGGAACTTTGCTCTCGATGACAATCGTAACCAAATCGATCCTGTCACGGCAGCTCACCGGGGAATTGATTCTCGGCTGAAAATCATGGGGATGTGCGAGTAAGCGATCTGTGTAGCTGTTGAAATTATTCCCGACAGAGTTTCCTCGGGTAAACAGTCAGATTACTTTCACATGAGATAAATAATGCCACTTGCATGATCTCCAATTGGATTCGCGTGATCTATCCCCATTACCACGGCGGAAAATCCTGTCGTGACCTTCTGTTAGGGGCCGAGATGGCACGTTAGTGGCTCTGGTCAGAGCTCTTTGTGCCGTATCGCCGCTGGTGATCCGTTCGGTATTTCATATTCCCATCCCTCGGATGTTTTGAAGCGAGCGGATGAAACTGTCGGCATTCAGAAATCGAATGTTCTCGTGTCATTCTCAATGACGACGATTGAAACTTTGTTTTTCTGCGATCGCTGAACCGACCGCAGAATCCATCGGCGCGAAGATGGGGTTTCATAAGAAACAGATCAATCGCGGCTTCTCAGGTTTCCCCTTCATCCGAATTCAATTTCCACCTCGGCTCATTTTCATTTTGTTTCATAAAGTTTCCGGTAGGCGGACCACAAGGTCGAGCTTTTCTGAGGCACTGCGAAATTAACGGCGGTTCCGTGCGCTTGGGTTTGCATAACCGGGTGTTTGCTCAAACGCTACAGAATATACAAGGCGCGTCGAATGCACCGCTAGCCACTTGGTCGGAGCAGAGACAGAATCAGCAAAAGTCATGTCCGCTATCTTTTCTTGTAAGACGAAAGATCTCGCGGTTCGAGGGATGCTTGCCGTTCTATTCTTTCGTTTTCTGGGGAAGAAATAGACACCATCGAAGAAAAGTGGTGCGTTACGTCGGAGCGACTAGCGTCCCGGAAAAGAACATCAATCCGTGTCGAGATTTCATGCGATGCTCAGATGCTTTGCTGAAAAATTCTCGAGTGTCTTAGGCTCTCAAACGCTGACAAGATACGGAATATCATTATGTCGATGTTCGCGCATTGTGATGGCAGCTCGGTGGTTTAAGACCTGGGCCCTGAGGCTATGAAGAAAAGTCGGGCGGAGACCGAGAGAGATCTCTTAGGTTTCGTGCGATCCGAATCCTCCAGACGATATCCGGCAATTATTTCGCCTCGCCGAGCTGTATCGAAGCCAAGAGAAAAACACTGCAACGAGGGATGATTTCGACGAGAATTCGAGTCGTCGTCTCCGTCCATCAAGGGATGATATTGAACTTTTTCCGAATATCCCAAGTCATACTCAAATCTAAAAGGAAAGAAAAGAACAGAAATTCCTTCGGATTGGAGTCTCCTCCCTCGAGACCCGAGGGTTGAAACGATCGCTTCCCCCGAGACTTTTCATAATCTTGATCTACGCTCGCAGATCTCGCTTCGCAGCCTATAAACTTCATGGCGGGCAGCGTTTGCGTGCGCTCCGTCCCGGCCCACCGTTTTGTTTCTCGCACAATTGCGGTCGCGACTCGACAGAGATTATTTTTTCCCCTTCTGTTTCGCTCGGCAACTCCCAGTCGTTCCGATTCAATCGAGCTGCTGCCGTCTGATGAGCCATGCCGTGCGTCGGCTCGGAGTGGGGCCGCTCCAGACAGACACTTTGAAAGAGAATTCTTAACTCTGTTGAGAAAAGCGTCTCAACGCACACCGATCGAAAGAGAGTTCGAATTCATTTCGAGTGATGTCGCTCGGAGGATTCTCTGCATCGTTTTCGATGAGGACTTTTGGAAGGTCTCGGAGAGCGATATTTGTCAAGAAAATATAATTAGTAGGTATAAAAAATGTCATGTATGCATCAGATGACATCAGAAGCTCTCAGCTGATTTGTAAGAGGAGGATCTCCTTAGTCCCACGGACAGTCGAAGTCGTGACTCTCTCGGTCAGGATTCGGAACTCGTCGGAGACATAGAGCGAAACAAGGAGATGAAAGCGGGGGGACAGCAACCGTGAATTCACAACGTTCCAGCCCCGGGAGCGGATGGAGAGTTGAAGCTTATCCCGGTCGTGAGCGAAAATATTGCGAACTTTGCAGAAACCGTATTGGCTGTTCACTTCACAACTTCAGCAATCGACAGCGCCATGACCAACGCGGAGCGAAACCGACGCCATCGCTTCGAGCTCGTTCCCTCTTGGGAAGCCGTTCCCAGCGAGTCGGACGGCCGTCAATTGACGGACTGCTGCCCGGCTCGTGTAACTGCGACGCGGACGAAATATTGAATTGGCTCAAATAGTCTGTCGCTCCTGTCGAATTGAATCAGCGACAGCGGAGTTCGCCAATGCCGTTACAATGAAATTTACGTCATAACGTGCTACTGAATATTCCGAAGACAACTACGAGACAAAAGACGCTCCTGGCGCTCTCCCAGCCATCAGTCTGAATGCGCAACGCCGGCAAGTGGGGTGGACGAGCGACCGGTTGCAGACGGAAAAGACGCACACTTAGCGAGGTCCCAGAGTGTCAAGGGAGAGTCAAGATCGGCCAAGAAGCCGGCTGCGGCGACAGTGGCGGCGGCAGGAGCCGTCAGGGGACTCCACGTCTGGCGTTTGCTTCATGGAGCATTTGATTCAAAAGAATGAATGAAGAGCGGATGAACAAATGAAAAGTCTACCGAGACGACAAAGAACCGGGGCATCAGCGTAACCAGCAATCCGGTCGAGCAACACGCCACCAAAAGACGCCGGTTCTGCCGCCGCCGCCGCGCTGTCCTGTCAAGGAAGACCACTTGGGAACCATCCGGGAAGCAGAATAAATTGAAGCGAGCAACCAGCAGCACCAACGGCGGCATCGAGCCCAGTTTACGTAGAAACTCTCTTCTCTTGATCTTCTCCGCTTTCGTCTCCCTTGGCCGTCGTCTCGTTTCATCGCATTGGTAGTTTGTAGTACAGACATGGAAAAACATCGTGATCTGTACCCTGACCCCACGCGCTCGATCGGCGAACTTGCTTGAAGCGGCTCGGTGTGGATATGGGGCGCGTATGATAACAACAATAATAATTACCATGCTGCAGCTAACTGGAATACTCGCTGCTCCGACTAATTATCCAAATTCATTGTATGCACCCCTCGGAGTCGCTTCATGCTTGATGTCGTCCTGACGGCTTGCTCGCCTGCCCGCCAGCCTGCCAGCCTGCCTGCCTGACTGGGCTTCAGCGGTCCAGTTCGAACAATAGCCCATAATCAGGTGGCATATCATCCTCTGGTCGTTGTTATTATCGGTGGGATTCCATTACTATGTTATGGTACATTGATCGCTTCGCCAAGGTCCATTGTCCGGCAGCGACACGTAACTGGACATAACGAGTGTGCATCGGATGGCGCCGAAGGCCAGAAACTCCATTCCGTCCTCGAAGACTCCTCGTTCCTTCAAAAAATTGAAACGAGTCGGGCTCGGAATGTTTGAGAATTATTCCTAATTCGAAACTGTGCCCAGCGTCCGCATCGGCTAAGCGAAGCGAGGACTGAGCTCTGTTGACTGGGGAGATCATTCATCGTTGATCGTGAGATCAGCATTAGAATTCCGCAAGTCAGTTATGTTTGTTGTCAATCGATCGTTTGTCTCGGGCCCACTCGGATACGCACGAAATATCGGGCAGGGGGCTCCAAGGGACCCGCTCGGATTTCGAGCTCGAATATCGCTTCAAGAACTTTTACTAAAATGAAGAAGTTCGGCGTATCTCATTATGGGTGTGTGTGATCATTATGACTCACTCGAACTCTGATAAGCCTCATCAGCCGATCGGTTTATTTTCGAAAATTCCAATATATGTTTCTGTGACGACAGCTCCGTGTGCCAACTTGGCATGACGGGATAGTTTTGTCGTGACCTGGCAGCTCAAGAGCGACTCGGGAGGGTTGTCCCTCATTCAGGAAAAATGCTGGGAATCGTCAATCATCGGGACGAATTCGGGAATGTCTCGTTCGGATAGGATGCTTTCCGTCTCCCCTCGCCGACCAGAAGCGCGGAAGGAGTCAATAAATCGCCAGCTGGATTTCTGAGCGAATATTATTACCACAAGAACTTGTCGACTGGATTGTTGTGGACTGAACTCAACGGAGGGACCGACGAAGCGCTGGTGATGGTCTCCCGCGAAGTCTGCTATAAAGAGAATAGTGGAAGCTACAGTGAAGTCGCACTCGGACCGCGGACGAACAAGTTGATTGAGAACGCTTCTCTTTTCTCCTTGCAGATTCTTGAGGATTCAGCCGAGAAAGGCGGTAGAGGAATTCATGTATTGGTTCTTAATCAGGCGACGGTGAGTAATAATCAGTTTCGCGATTCGATGTCATGATGTCGAGCGGCCGGCGCAGCGTCCCGCACAAAAGCGATTCCTGCGAGAACGACCTGTGGGAGGGAAGCTCGGTCAGACTCGTCTGGGGCGAAGAACCCTTCAGAGGAGAACAGCATCGACAGGTGATGGCAGGAATTATGGAGGAGATGAACTTCCCGAGCTCCCGTACGGGAAGTAAACGTACGAGCGACAGAAGGGAAGCGGAAGGAAACGAAAGAATTGCGGTGGGAACTGTTCTCTGGCTTTCTTGGGTGGGACAAACACAAGAAATTCCGCTCTACGGCCTAGCCATGTCGCCAAGAACAAAGGCTCCGATGACACATCGTGATTGCCCTCCCGACTCACAAGACGACGACGACGGCAACAACATCAACACAGCATAATTTTTCCGACTACTTTGAAGTGGCTCTTGCCAGTCAACTTTCTCAACGTCAACACCCAGCGGTTCGGGTCGGAAACTCTATGGGAGAGGCAATTTCGGAAGCTTGAAGTCGTGCGAAACACTTGGTAGTAGAAGCCTCGCAGAATACGTCTGGCAGAAGGAATCCTGGTCCGGTTTTCCGTGGGCATCATCTCAAACACTTTCGCCGCTTCGCCGACCGCTGGGTCGCATGGGTCATTTCGTGGTCGCGAGGGGGTGGCGATAGCGGTGGAGGTAAATACCCGAAGCGGGACGACGGGTTGGACGACGGGCTAGACGACGGTTTCCTGGTTTTTCAGCAGAAGGGGAACGATGTGAAAGCCGACAATTAAAATGTTTCTGTCCGTCTGATTTCGCAGGGGGCCGTGATGGCACAGCGTCTATTCGACACCTACTCGCATCACGAAGACGAAATGATGGCATTCTTCTTGAATATGGTGTCGGACGGTCGCATAATAATCTTCGCCATCAAGGACGAGGGCACTTTCCAAATGAAACAGCCGGCCAGAGATCTTTTGAAGAAACTCGGGAGCACAAAGGGTCAGAGCATCGCCTGGAGAGACATGTGGGCGATGGTCTGTCGGAAGGGCGGCACCAGCAGCGAACAGAGAAGCATCAACTACGGTGAGACGTATTCAAAAAGTCCCGAGTTCAACTCGTGGGGCGCGCCAGTCTACCTGAAGGCCGAGGTTCCCCTCGTGCCGCTCGAGGACACTCAGTGCTCGAGATGGCCCGACTCTCAAGAGACGAGTCGGCGGAAGGCTTTTTGCAATCGGATCGAGGGCTACGGCTCCATTTGCTCGTGCGATTCGCCGGCGCCGCTTACGTTCGCGCCGACGCCGTTGCCCGTTAATAATGTGTCCGACGTGCCTGTGGTGATCTTGGCATCGAACCGACCCCACTACCTCTACCGGATGCTGCGAACGCTGCTCAACACGCCCGGCGTAAACCAATCGGCGGTCACGGTGTTCATCGACGGCTACTACGAGGAGCCTCTCCAAGTGACCAAGCTGCTCAATGTGCGAGGGGTACAACACACGCCGATCGGGCTGCGGAACGCCCGCGTGTCACAGCACTACAAAGCCTCGCTGACAGCGACGTTCTCGATGTTCCCCAAGGCCGAGTACGCGATCGTTATCGAGGAGGATCTGGACGTGTCGCCGGATTTCTTCTCCTATTTCAGCCAAACCGTTCACCTCCTCAAGGAGGATGACAGCCTCTATTGCATATCCGCTTGGAACGACCACGGCTACGAGCACTCAGCCCAGGATCCGGCGTTGCTCTACCGAATCGATGGGATGCCCGGTCTGGGCTGGATCCTCAAGCGCTCCTTGTACAAAGATGAACTCGAGCTCAAATGGCCCTCGGCCGACAAACCGTGGGACTGGGACATGTGGATCCGGCAGCCACGTGTCCGGAAGGGGCGTGAATGCGTCATACCCGATATCTCGCGAACATATCATTTTGGATCGCAAGGCATCAACATGAACCCCTACTTCCAGGTGAGTGGCCAGAGAATACTGATTGGGGCACCTGGGGCCTCGAGTAGATGGGGGTTGAGGGGGACTGGGGGGGGGCGCCGCTGCTAAGTACGAGGTATGGGGGAACGCCTACAGGTACGCCTGTGAGGCGAAGGGGTCGATGAGCGAAGCGATGGGGCTCACGGTCCTCCTCACTCCCGGCTAAGCTGACACCGGCCTGACATCGAGGTCTACCATTACCAGTCATCAGTCACTCCTCGCCTCGGTGAGGTGTGATTCCACGTGGAGTCATAAGGTTTTTCCTTAAGTTCACTTGGATCGTGCGCGGAATTGCTCAGCTTTCCGCTCCTCTTCCTTCCGTCGTTCCTCACGTACTATACCTCCAGTCGTCGCCGAGTCGCTCGAGCTTCCTTTGTTCTGGTCCCTCAAGGGCCGACTGCTCGAACAGCATTAAACGAGCATCAGCGTATAAAAACCAGTCTATGTCCTCCAAGTCCATTCTAAGAAAGCAAGTCATTAGAAAGGAAAAAATCTCGCTTCCACCACGGAGCTTACTCCCGCGTCACGTCGCTCGCCGTCCCCACAAAACAGTACCGCGTCCGAGTGCTTTTGATTGTGGCGCTGAAATGAAATCAGCGCTCTGTTGTTGGCTGTGAGCTCACGACTCCGACTCCCTCACAGGGTGGCTAATTCCGACAGAAAGTTCGATTCAGAAAAAAAAAACTCCCCTCCCGCGCCTGCCCGGGGCCACAGCCTTCCTCCGGAAGGAGGAAAACGGGACAAGTTGCAGGTCCGTTCCCCCTCGCCGGTCTGGCGTCAGATTTCAGATTTCCAAATCTCACGAACTCCCGCTCCGCTATCGATACTTGGCCTCGGAGATTCCGTGAAAACATTTTCCGAAAGCGATATTCACGCGGTTTCGGTCCCGGAGGCTAGGGGAAGGCGTCTGAGGATTTGTCCGAAGTGACCGGCAGCCCTTCAGATCGACATCTGACTTTTTTCGGTAACATTCCGTCGGTGTAATCGTCCGCTCCTGCTCCTGCTCCTGTCGGCCGTTGGTCGGATTGACCGAGCGAGCGGGCGGGCGGTTTCCAGAGCCGCTCCAAGTTACTTTTTGCATGCGGCAGCGGACGCGTTTTCTTTTCTGAAATTAGGCTGAGACATCAGTCGACCATCATCTTCTCGTCGTCATCGTCTCCGTTAGTTTCTCTCTCCACGAGCCGTCGCTTCCACACGAGCATTGAGAACAATAGAAGGCCGAGAAATCAGCGAACAACAAAAGTTTAAAGCGCTGGCTGCCGTCGCTTGTCAGAGTGGACGACGAAAGCGAGCACATGGACGACGATCATCAAGAGTCCGCCGGCCGGTGCGAGAACGTCGTCAACGCCATCCATAAGCCGCTGTTTTAGCGGCTCTCGACGATGAGTTAAATTTGAGGGGCTGTTCTAGGTATTGTTCAGTATGTGGTCGTTTGGTCATTTGTTCTTTGGAGTAAAACGCTCCGTTCGCCCCCGTCATCTACCACCGTGCGGTACCGCCGAGCGCTACGCGGTGCTCGACAGAACTCACAAGAAGGGCTACGATGACTTCCAGCACTGTTAGCCCCGTCGAAGCCGTCAGCGTTCGAGTACTAGGGGGAGGGGAGGGCGGGAGAATGAAACGGCCCGTGTCTTGCGCTCTCCCGAATTCGGTTCCTGTCGCTTTCGCTGTACAAATTGGTCGCAGGGTGCGCATCAGCCCCATATTGGTAGGTCGATTCGTCCGCAGGCCCGCTTCTCGTCATTTCGGGTATTGCTCGGGTCCGTCGGTCGGTCGGACGGTCAGTTAGTCGCTTCTGGTCGATGGATCCCGCCGAAGGTGGCGGTCGTGCGTTCCATTGACATTTATTTATTTATGACCAATAGGCCGGAAGCATTCAAGCGTCGGGATTCATTACGCCGAATCGGCGGCTCTCGCAACAGATGTTCATCAACGGACTCGCCGGCCTGAGTCGAACGCGTGGACAACGGACTCCGGCACTTACTGCGCTGCTTCATCGATTCCTTTACCGAACGGATTTCATCCTCTCCTCGATCTATCGAAATATCCATCAATGCTGGATGCGCAATAACTATCAGCGTTTCCATCGTATCGGTGCTCACAAGCTCCAATAATTTCTTTCCTTTCGAGATCGCTATGCCAGCATGCTTCGTTCATTAGGCAAACTATAAACGAATTCCAAATGTTTAATGAGGGAAGCCCCGCCTGATAAGTATTCATTGCACCCGCTAAGCGTATGGGTTATTCAGCGGCTAATGGAATAATTCATCTCTCGGAACAGTGATCGCTGACCACTTGAACGGCGGCGAAAAATTTACTCTCCGCGACACGAGGGCATTACAAGGCACTAGCAGCGGGCGTATCGGATTCCGGTGGCTCGGATTATCGCGCCGCCGCTCTTGCGTGTCGGTCGGAATCTCGTTCCGCTGGAGAGCAGTAAACCTAATCATCTTCTCTGTTTTCCAGGACATGTACTTCACCAAGCACGCTTTCAACAATCTGCCGAATGTGAAGCTGCGGGATGTTGACTCACTCAAGAAGGACGCCTACGAGGCCGAGCTCACGAAGCTCCTCTCGAGAGCGAAACCCGTCGATCACAGCAAATCTCCCTGCGAGGCGGATATCGTGCCGAAGGCCTCGTCCACTGCGACCACAGTAGTGGGGGGAACGCAGACCACAAACGGTATCAACCTCAGAAGCGGTACCAGCTACGGCAATGACAGCAGTCAAGATGTAAGTATTCGTACTAATCACTCCGATTGGTCCTTTGACTGGAATAGGAAATGATCGACAGGGATCGAAGAACGAGCATAGTTGCAGTTTAGCTCTGCTGGGAGATCCGTCGAGTTATAATTTGAGCTCGACTAAGTTCCAAGGAGAGTGGTCGCAGAGAACTTGAGTGCCCCCAAAGATGGTCGTTCCACCGTCTATTGGGGAGGAATTGCAGACCTATCGGGAGAAATCGGAACCATCCGATGGCTAGACTCGCTATTACCGAATTCGGAATTTCGGAAGAAATGTTGAACCCGGGTCGAAGCGCTCATACGGTGAAACACCGGAAATTTTGATTCGATTCACTTTCCCGCATTCCCACTGGCAACGGTGCCGCGGACGACACGACGCTGAGAAATACCTTTTTCGCTAGCATTATTTTTCTCTAAAAGCGCTTTCGAAAGGGAAAAGAAAAGACTACGTGCAGATCACGTGGCGGGTAACCCGCCTAAGTCCATTCGGGCGAAGACTCTTGTGGTGGAGCAGCGACCGACGTGTTGTATTTTACGGCCCAGGGTCCACGAGGAAACTTCGGTGGGTCTTTGTCTCCGTTGGTCTGACTATCTGTCGAATCGCAACGGGCAAGGTTATTCGTCCAAGTGCGAACTGCTCAAGTATTCAGCCTTCCGCCGAGATCCTCCGCGTTATTCTCTCGGCAGATCAAGCGTCTGGCACAGCGCTTGTCGTCCGGGTCGGTCCCCCAATCCATCAACGCGAATCCTTCGGACAATCTGTCGCGGAACGGGTCGATACATGCGCTGAGAGCTATTGCGGAAACTCGAAACTCCATTATGACGTGGATCGGGTGAGCTCCGACTTTTCTCAGACGAGCGGTGGCGCAGCTTTGATTTCGAAAGCCTGAAATCTTCGAGTTTCTCTCGACTCACCCCAGGACTCGGTTCTCCCGCGGAAACTGGAGGGAAATAATAAATTTGAGATCCTCCGCGGACCATTAGCGAACCCACATCGGACCGGTAGGACCGAGTTCGCATTCATGTCGCTCGGACGGAACGAATGGCTGCTTCGTCGACGCGTCGGTCCCGTTCATGACTTCATGTAAGGCGACAGCGAATGTCGACAGAAAGTAAGACCGTCGGGGCAGCCATGGACAATAAGTTGCCAAAATCACATCTTCGAGTTGGGTCAACAATCTGAATATTTGGGCCAGCCTCATTCCTTCGAGCAATGACAGTAATTACGCGCCGATCCGTTGAGGACGTTCCTGCGTCTGCTGTTTGATTATAGACAACCGACAGCCCGGTTAACCCGACAAGCGAAGCGGTGGCTCGCTCCCTGAGGAGGGACCAACTCTCGAATTTCGACGTCTGAACACGCCTCCCTTACTTCATGTTCCATCGACTGTCCGTCGGAATTTAATTCGGCCGTGAGAATCTGCCGGTCTTCTCATTGATATCCACCCGATCCGTCCCGACTTTGACAGAAAAAATATTATTCAACCCCCAGCTGGGCAAATGAATAAACTCCACACTCCACTGCATCGAGAATAGCGGTCTGCTCTCGATCGAAACGAATCGCAAACGACCCCCCTCTCAACTCTTGGGTTTGAGTGCGGAAGCGCCTCTCATCGACTGCATGTTCGCCATACAAACTGGAAGCGTCGAAAACAATGACGCTCTTCCTGCTGATAAGTCCGGCAAGACAGACGCCACCAACACAACGAGCGGGGTGAGCGATTCCGCATGCCGAACGTGTTGCTGGACAACAACCAGTGAACAAAGTCTTGTCGAACGGAAACATCGGCAGAAAAATTGAGTGGTTCGTCCAACAGACTGCCGATACGATTGTTCCGAGAGGGACGACTTTCCCCCTCGGCCATCAGCCCATAAGTCAGCGAACTGTCCGGGTGGAATAGTATCATGAATAGTGCTCCTAACGGAACAATGCCGTACAATTCTGCAAGGTCTTCGGAGCTGAAGAAAGACGCGCTTTCGGATAAACGTCACAGATATCACAGCCGGGCGTATTTGGAGAACTACCAACGAACTATACCAACCGCTGAACACGGGCAAGATCTCCCCGGATAAGAGCTTCGCCACTATGCTCCTTTTCCCTCCGCGAAACCGGGTGGTCTCACTCGGAGCTGTCACCTCTTGTTCTTTTTTGACGGAAAAGACAAAAACGAAAGTTCCAGGAACTATTCTCGTCTTCCGCTCCATCAAGGCCGATACATGACTCGATCGGAATGAATCTTTCCCTGAGCCTCCATGAGAATGGATGATATTTCCAGTCGAGTTCCACCATGGCTGATGAGCTTGGAGCAAATCGACTTTCTGAATCGATCAGGTCCAAGATGTCCGCGATCAATACTCAGGTCCCAGGACGAGCATAACGCTCCGCATCGAGGACTTGGTCAGCGGGCGTGACACTCGCCCCTACTCCGCGATGAAAGTCCAATGCCGACAAGTACCTGGAATGTTGCGATTTTTCCGCCATAGTAGACTTCGCCGTTTTGCTGACGCGCTCTTTTGACGCAAGATTCGTCCGTTGCCGTCGGTTTCGCCGAACCTGCCGACTGCCGAGAGAATTCTAAGGGAGTCAACCGAAAGTCGTAAAATTGTAACGCGACTGCCATTCTGAATGTCGTCGCCGTTGCGATTACACAAAATAAGTGAGAATGGAGCGTTGTGCGGGCGGACGGGTGGATCACAAAACTGTAGCGATGGAACGTCACGGTCCTTGTCCGGATGATCCGGACAACTGGCGAAGTCGAACAAGCGCACAAAGCGGGGTTAGAAGCCGGGCGTCGTGGGAGGTAGGGTTTGCTGCGTGATTGCATCAGCTGATGTGGCACGAACGGACTAGGGAATCAAAATCTGAACGTTGGTCTGTCTAAACGACTCCCTCCCCTGCGAGTGCGAGGTCATTCGCGAACACCGTCATGCGCTGCTCAGTCGAGTTCTCGAAAAATCTCGTCGCGACGAGCGAAGAGTTGTGAAACCGGGACTATCCTCAAACTGGGCAGAAATTGCGACGGGAACCAGTTTCCGAAAGGTCGCGACAGGGAGCTTCCCTCACAAAACTCATTTTCATTGCAGGTATATGTGATGTATATAGGCCAGTCGACGTGGCTGGAAGTCGCAAAATGTCTGAGGGTTTGGGATCTCGATGGCCGAGGTTTCCATCGAGGTCTTTGGAGACTTTTCCTCAACGGACATCATCTACTCGTCGTTGAAGTGCCAAGTTCCCCTTACTCGTGAGTACAATCTGCCATTGCGCATAGGGCCTAGCTTCCTGATTTTTTTCCGCCACCGCCTTCCCCTCGACGCTTCCATCTAGCCCGGCGCAACCTCCCCTCAAGCACTTCCTCTGCTTTTCCCAAAGTGGACCTAAGCGTTTTCTTAGGCGAACGCGCTATCGCTCGTTCGCTTAAAAGGGAGCGCCCACCGCCCGGCCACATAGACAAAAATTCGTCCTCACACTCAAGTGAGATTTTAAAAGCAAAGCCGAAACCCTCACTTCTCTCCTCCGTTGTTCACTTCCAAGAGCTATTAAACAACGGATCGGAGAGCTCCGCTAAGAGCCCGCGCTCGCAGACAGGACCACCGATGCTATTGAGGCCGTTTTTGTTGTTATTGTTGCTGCTGCTGTCGACGAAGTTGTTGTTGTCCGGCGGGCGAACTACTCGAAGATGATTGAGGTCTCCGATGGCAGCCGCTCAGAAATATAGAGACGGTCAGAGCTGCTGAGGGTGTAAGGGAAGACGGATCGATCGCCGACGACGTCGAATCGGATCTTTGCAGCGGAGTGGCCACGGGTCCGAGCTAAGTGGCTGAGGTGCTTGGGAACCCCAACGGCGACCGTGGTTCAGCCACAAATGCCATGATGAGCTCGCGCGTTCGACGCAGATCCATCAGTTTGATTAAAGAACAAGCTCAAACAACAAGGGACAAGAAGACGATGGCCATCACGCGGTTACGAAGGCGCTAGCGGTTACGTCGTCGACAATCATTCCATTAAGCGTTGTTATGACGTGACAGTGTCGCTGATCCCTCAGCGGCGCCCCCGCACATTATGGAGGCGGCGAGTTTCTATGTAAACTCGAGTCTGTCACGTGGGCTTCGTAGTCCGCTGGCTGGTTTGTGGGCACGCGTTCGGTGTCCTCCGTCCCATCTCGTTTATTCTTTTTTTTTATCGCGGTGGCCGGGCAGGAATTTTCGGACCCATTAGCCAAGTTGGCGGGGTAATAATGCGAGCGATGTGGTCGTCGTCGTTCGCCATCCATCCATTCATCTCTTTATGCCTGAAACTTTGTGAAATCGTCGGATTCTTGAAACGTCCCGCTCAATCTCCGGGACTTCAGCAAATTCAGCGCCGGGCAGGTTGCTCGCTCCGCTGGTGGTGGGTCCGATGTTGCTTGTGTCGCTCTTCAATTAACCGTAAACGGTGTCATTGGCGCTCTATTATCCATGGTGCGGCGCGCCGTCGACCGCGCGATTACGGCCGGGTGTCCGATCGAGCGGTTTGCTCCCGAAGGAGTGCGTGGCACGGCATCCAGAGCGGAGTAGCTCGATGATGGAGACCGGAGCGGCTTTCTACCCGGGGCTGAAGACACGGCGCAGCGGAAGACGCGGCTAACAGGTGTCTCACACTCGAACAAGCCTCGTCGCGCTTGCTTCGAATGCGGCTTTGAAACGGAACAATAAGACGGACTCTCTGACGATGCACGAGCGGAGCATTAGCGGAGAAGATGTTAATGAGGGGGAAACCCAATTTATAAGGTGACGGAGCGGCCTGAGGCTCGGGGCCTTCTCGCGGGAGGTCGAAGAGAGCGCTCAAGGAGGGATTCGCGGGCGGATGATTTCGACACTACGGCAATTCATGACCCTCAAACGTACTCTCAGGCAGTTTGCTTACTCCTGAGGTTTACCCCGTCCCCCCGATCGAGGAGGGAAGGAAAATACTGGACGCTGAAACCGCTTTTGACATGAAGCACGAGAAAAATCGACCTACCGAGGGCGGAAGCGACTTCCGACTCGGATGTATTTTCGCTCGCGAGGAGTCGTCTGTAATGAAATTTTTTCTTGTCCTCAACTCTGCCAATACCCGCATGCCTCAGGAATTCGGCTGTACAGGGAACCTGTCAGATAAATCAACGGTAGTTTAGTCTTCAGATCAAGCTGTCATCTAAGGGGGCAGGAAAGTGAGTCGGACACTCGTCACAACGCCGACCTAACCGAAAATTAAATGAGAGACTCAAGCGAGAGTGAGTTGCAGACGTCAAGAAGAGTTGTGCGGGGTGGCTCCGTCGGACAGATCGCTGGCTCCAACCCCGATGGAGAAACGGAGACATGGAATGAAAATCACTAATAATAGCTCAAGCTGGCCAGACGCCATTCCAGATGTTTTTCATCAGTGTTACCTCGCTTGCTCTCTCCATCGCGGAATCGGCCAGCTCCCGTAACGAAGCTGGCTGTCTCGGGCTTCCTGCCAGGTCCTGGCCAGGCTCCTGTCAGGGAGCTCCGAGCGCGGACGGAGATTGATTCGGGGATCGATTGACCGAACAGACAGAGTCAACCCTTAAACTCAATTTTGGGAACAATCGAAAGAAGAAAATGGGATGGGTGGAGAGCCTGAAGTGTCTTATCTTCTTTTTTTTTGCTTTCGATTCTCTATTCAATCCTTGTCGCTTGCTTTCGCGCAAGGGGATACGACGTGCGTGCCCTATCGCTACCTGGCTTTCTTAATCACAAGCATTCGACGCACGTGCGCACTCGTGTGTGCATAGATTTGTTCCCCCGATGCCGTTCTCCTACGGGAGCCTTGTTCTGAGAGGAACTGCGATAGTTTCGTTTCCTCCGACTTGGAAGCGGGAAGACATAGATATCGATGAATCATGATCAACGTTCAGGACATGCCTAAGAGATAATTTCTTTTATATTCCAGGTCTTTCATGCCGGCTCGGGTGACTCCTATTACTCTCCCGAAAGAAGTTTCTTCGTCCGCCAAAAGTTAAATCGTTCAAGTCGGCGGCAAGAAACGTTGTTAAGAATCTCTGCGGTACACGGTGCGGGAGCGATGCGGAAGACGCTCGACGAACATCTGAACCGCGGAAAATTCGAAACACTCCCCCGCCCTTCGATCGTCGAGGGGAGAGTTTCACATGAAGAGGAGACATATGATCTGACGGGAGATGGACCCTCACGTATAGAACAAAAGATTTGCCCGAACTGCGGCTTCGTGTATTTATTGTACAGTTCTTATAGGTAGATGAACGGATGGAAGGAATTAAATAAATGAATACCTTTAACAAAACCATCGGACGTCATAACCACGAATTAAGTGACAATGCGTGAGTTGAGGCGAACAAAGAATGATTCATGATTATATGCCCTGTGACCGAGCCGACGCTTCCATTGATCGTATGATAATCATGCTTAAAAAATCAAGCGTCTCCGATGGAGATTCATGATTGGGGAGGGAAAATAAACTTCGATAGGGAATCAGGATCCGACCGAACGAGGACCTACCTCTAGGAGGGCGGAACGACATTCGCCTCGATAGAGACTGCTCGGGCGAGTGATTTTCCGCCAGTCTTCACTTCAGACCCTCCAAGGGAATTTATTGTGTTCTGACCGCCCCCTTGTACGACCGATTTTCGAGACTCCGGAGAGTCAGATGATATCGTCTCTCGAGGTACTGAGTACCTCGCGGTTCGATGGCGTCGACTCGGATATAGAAAAAAGTCGACTCATGCCTTCCTGGCCAACTCCTCTTGGCAAATCCGAGTTGCCTTGGAGAAAAACATTTGCCAGAGATTCTTATCTACTGCAATGCCGAACATGGCCAAATTCTCCGGGAAAGGATTCGGTATTCTCACAGATCTCCCCGCCAGTGTTATACATGACGGGGTACAAAGCCCAATTTGATATCACGTTGTATCTTCGTCAGCAACGAAATACCTATATCAAGAAAAAAAACTCCACTCGTTCTTGAAGCATTCAGAATATATTCAAATCGTCAAGTACAATAATTGCCTTCCCTCCGCTGACAAGGGGTAACAGATATGGGATTGAATACGGAAAACGAGCCTATTCGATGGAACTCGGCTCCTGACGCTGTATGTACCATATATCAACAATATACTTAGTTAAACAGTTCATAATCGCGTTCTCCACACGCGAGCGGTGTGTATCTTCAGGAATTCTGGGGGAGGCTCAAACATCTCCTCAAACATTCAAAATGTCCGCATCCAGCTCGATTGCCGAGCGGGATTTCAGGACTCATTCGCCCTCCAGGGCTCGACTCCCGGCGGGAGCCAGTCACTACAATTCTTGCTCCCGCTGCTCAGCCTCAAAATACAAGGTATAAGAAAAAACGTGGGTCAGAAACAACAAACCAGCCACCGGACTGGCGGGAAGAATTCTCCAAGAGCAGAAAAATCTGAAAAAGTTCACTTGATTCGTGACGCAACCTCCTGCTGTAGTCGTTCGATTTCAGCTCGAAGCTTTGCGTTCTGAGCCGAGAGTTTCTCGTATTCTGAAAAAGAGAAAGGTTGTTTTCCCTTTATTTTGAACTTGAGAAGAACCGAACGTGAGCTGAAAAAAAATATCATTCCACGAGAGGGATATCGACGACCTTGCTATTAGAATTAATAGTTCGTCGTCGGCCGGGGGCGAAAAGTCTGGAAAATGAAACCGCAGTCCCACGGTACTCCCGCCGCCCGGTAACCCACAACAGTCGTTGGGTAACGACGTTGGACTTGTCCGCTAGTGAGAACCGGACTTGTCGTGGACAGTGCTCCGGTAGTATCATGCAGTAAAGCCGGTGATCGTTGAACCGTAACTCTCCACTTTCACCATGACTCTAGCCTAACGGTCCGACAGATAGTCAGACATACCCTCACCCAAGGTGTCTGCTCCCTTTGTGCTCACTAAAAAAGAATGAGCTTTGTGACAAGTAGATGGTATTTCGACATTTCATTCCGTAGGCCGTGATGGTGGTCACCTACATCGTTTTTCCGCCGTCGTAATCTATCTGCCCAGCTCGGATTCTCCAGTTGGAGGTATCAGACTTAGTAGGCGATTAATTCATTCGGCTGAAAGCTCTAAGCGTAGGAGAAGTGGGCGATTCAACTTTCTTTGAATTCTCGCGCTCGTTTGCGGAGCAGCATGGCGACGAATCGGTCGTAGATTTCACGCAGGGATGGAGGCGAATGATGGATCCAATCCGTTTCTTATTGTTCACTGCAGATCACGACGTGAGAACATAGCGCAACACGGAAGCCCTGGACATCAATTCACCCATTCGGTAGACGTCCAGATAAATGCGAAGCCTCACATCTTCGATCTGATTCAGTTCCCTGAGTCTGCCTGTCAAATTTCCCACTCGCAGCTTTCCGTTCTGATCTGACGCACAAGCCAACCACGTGTTAAGGGGAAAAATCTACGGACATCGATTCAAGTATAACCGCGGAGATGGGAACTTACAGAGGTAATGCTAGGAACAAGTGTCGGTAACCGGTCGAATGTGGTCAACGTGATGAGACGCGCTTCTAAACTTCTTGGAGCTCGCCAACGCGTATTAAACGGGAATCTCGAACTTGACCAAACCCATCCAGATCTGTCCACAATTCGCCTAGCCGAGAAACGCAATCGCAAATGACAACGGTCAACCCGTCTGTCTGTCTATCCATATATCCGATCTTCATAAGCGAGATCCTTCCTGCGTTTGTTTCGTTGTCTGCGGCTTGACTTGCGGTCATCATTCTCCGTCTACAAAGCTTCATCTTCCAGTTCAGTTCATCTAATATGGTCGAGCCTCGATCTAAGCCGAGGATAGTAGACACCGCTGGATGTCTCCGAAAACACGCAAGCATTTACACACGCAAGACACATAGATGAAGCGAGCCATGGACGGGAACACGGAGTTCTCTGAGTCTCTGAGAATAATTCTACCACTCAGTCATCCGGTCGAGCAACCTTTGACCCCCGCGCTGCTGCTGCCGCTGCCGATGCCAACAGCAACGCTTCATTCTTCGCAGTCTCGCGGCGGAACAGTCCTTCTTGAATTATTGCTGGATTTCGCTTCTTCTTCTTCCCGCCCAGTCCGACATTCATCATTGCGTTCTTATTTTATTATGCCATCTCTCAATGGCCTGGCTAGAAGATTGCCCGCCCTGGACCAATGTTTAGATCAGTGCAATCGGCATTCCACTGTTTTGGGATCGGAAGAAACATTCGAGAGCGAATCTTGCTTCGTGAGGAAGAGGTGTTTTGAGCGGTCGGTTGCTGCGTTTCCACGGATAGAATTCAATTGTTACACATTTTGTGACGATATCGGGAAGTGCTTCTCCCCTTTGGCGCTCAAACCAGCGGATTTCGATGAAATCTCCTCTTCTCTCCTCCTGCATACTATTCCTGGGTCGTCTGTTCCACGATACAACGAAAGAGAGGAGTTTGGGATCAAAACATTGCAAGAAGAAAGTCGTACCACCGCTGCGCCGCTGCAGCCTTGCCGGTAGATGATGACGGCCACGACGATGGAGGAAGGGTTTCAGAGCAAATTTTTTACGAGCCAAGCGGGAAATGCATCCCATCCAGAATATATTCTCACCAGTCAGTTTTCCAACTCCGGATCGCTCCGCCACCCTGACGTCTATTCCTCGTTCCTCCCTCCCACTCTCCGCTCAGTTTTCGCTTTTCCTGTTCAGTCGGAGTCTATCTCGTTGTCTGAACTCACAGGAGGTCTTTTTTTTTCTCTTCTTAGCGCCCCAGTGCGTGTAGCAGTCTGCCGACGACTACCTGGGTAAGTTCGTTCTCGGATTCGTCCGTGTATGATTCTCGCTCGGGGAATGGAGGTTGAGCTCGGTAAACAAGCCTGTTCAAGCTCAGAGCGTACCGCTCGATTTTCTCGAAACCCCCTACGCAAGGCGTCGATTACGCTCAGGCTCTCTATAACGAGCTCCAGGGAACAGCCAATAAACTGTATCGCCAAGTTGCGGGGCAGAGATCCATATATTACAGGAGAAAAAGAGCGGTAATTGGAGGAGAAACTCTGTGACGGAAACGACGGGATTATTGTAGAAGTTCGCGCGAGCGCTTCATGTGGGAAAAACATCGGAAGGGAAGCAGCGTGAGGCCGAGCAGACTTGCCAATTTGGCCGAAGACATGAAAAAGGAAACCGAGCAACCCGTGCCCAAGCTACGAGGCTCACTCAGTCAGTTGGATGGCGAAATAGATGGATGGAGTGCGAAAGTGAGTGAGTGGCGAAGTGCTTGACCATTGAAGTGAAACTCTCGCAAGGCGAATACCGACCGCGAACGAGGTTCACTAAGGTCCGGCGGAATCCACCTCGGTGCCCTCGTGGGACTCTCGTCGTCCACGTCGTCACTCTGGCTGCAGATCGAGTGGGCGAGTTTCGCTTTTCCACATTTCTCCTCTCATATTCCCTAAAGTAGTGGGGACTGCCAAGTGGCTTCATATTTCAATTCCACCCTATATTTCATTCCGTCGCAGTTTCTAAATTTCTCGTTCTGTACCATTATTGCCCTACGAGCAGACAGACAGGCAGACGGTGAAATGAACGAGAGGGAGAGAGGGAACAATTTCAGCGGGGAAACACAAAGAGGCCCGTTCTGCCGAAAGCCATTCGACTATACGTTTCCTACTGCAGCGCTTACTGCTGCTGATTCTTCTACAAGTAGTAGTAGTACTGCCAAACATCTCATTCCTAAACACCGAATCTTTTCATCACCACCCGTCTGTTCGTCCGTCCAGTTACCGTTCCGTCCGTTCAAGCACCCGCCCGCCGCCTGCTTTTCAGCCTTTCGTCAGCCAGCCGGACAGACCTCAGCCTGAAATGTGGTCCGCCATTTGGCAGACAAACAGATCACCGAATTTTCTTCCTGCGGACAAGAGAGAACACCCACTTGCTGGCGTGGAAGGGGAAATAAATCAAACAGACCGGAATCTCGACGAAGACGTTGGATATTGAAAGCATTTGTCAAGTCGGTGCATTGTCCGTCGGGAAACCGAGCGGAGCGTTGCCGTCTGCCGTCGGGATATACCCGAGTCTGGATAGGTAATGTTCCACATTGCATTCCAAGCAATGGGAGGAAGGTTTTCCCTCGAGTTTTCGGATTGAGAAACTCCTCTAGTCGGGAATGTTTGCGATCGACCCATCTCTGCGATTTTCCCTGAGCGTTATCGGGTATCGTCGTACTGCAGAGGGATCTATCACATAGGAGCTGAGAAATTTTCCTATGAATTAGATGAATCGATTTGAATTTCTTAATCCGGGAGATATTGAACGCTCCGAAAGTTTGCAAAACGAGGCAAAAGCTTGAGCGATGCGACGATACAATCTTCTCGGATCAGCGGAAGAAGAAAATCAATCTGATTCCGATTCGAGCGAAACCCGCAGCAAACACCACTATCGGCGCATCACTAAGTAAGTAAGAAGCACTCGACGACGATCAACCGCCCCAGAGATTCTGCTTGCTCGAGTCATTTGAAAATTCGCGCGGATCTCCAGGACCCGCTGACTGGTGCATATTTGAAGTCTGTGAACACACGCCGAGCGAGGAGAAGCTCATCGGTCTTCACACTCAGCCGTTTCCCCCACTACTGAGCGAATCGACCGCCTGGTGTGGCCTTCTTTTGATTCCGAACCCGATCTGATGGCGTCCTTCGCACCACTGCCATTGAGTCGACATCCGTCTCTGTCGTTCAGACGGACGCAGCAGATTCCCTCGTCGAGACGACGAACTAACGACGACTTCACTAAGATACCGAAAAGAGGACGTCGAGCTCGGGGAGGAGGAAGAGGGGGAGGGGAAAGAGCCCAAAGACAACTGCGGTTCCTCGGAGACAAAGAATCCGCCTCGGTGAGAATTGCTGCTCCTCGATGCTTGGTTGCTCATTCCTTTTCATGAGTCTGTCTCTTTGAATTCCAGCCCCGGCCCGAAGTCAGCTGCCGTCGTGGCCGACGAAGCCGAGACAAATCTCACGACTCCGCACTCCGGTGTCCGGGAGCCGCTCCGAAGAGAACGCATCTACTGGGCGCGTTGAGCGTCTGGGCGTCGGCCGTTTGGGAAAACGGGAAAACTAAGCTGCAGGACGGTCCCGTTCTTATCATTGTGCAGGCTAAGCACACCTGGAGGACCGGCTAGCTAGGCGACCGGGCAATCCAGCGGCCGGCAGAGCAGCAGCTAAACTAGTTGGTGCCGCGGACGTCGCCGTCCTGACAAGGGCTCAATTTACGACCTGAGTGACTTATGCCGTAGACGTTCAATCCAATTCCAGCCATTCCCTTTAAGTAACGAGCAGCGTCGGCCGCAGGAACAGCATCAAGCAAGCAAGCGAATCAAGCATCCGCAGAGGCCAACAAGGAATCAGAAGCTCCCGCGGAAGCCGGCGCAATCTCCAATAGCGCCGAACCACTCCTGACCCACTCCCGTACAGACAAAAGAGGAAAATCTAATTCACTCAATCACTCAAGACACTTCAGAGCCCTCTTTGTCCACGTCGGGAGGGAATTGAGCGGTTGCGGTGTCGGCAGCAAAAACAAAAACAGCTGGATCGTGAAAGAGGAAGAAAGGAGGCGGTGCTGGCCTAGGAAAAATGACGCCATGATGCGCCAGTTAATCCGAGAGGAAGAACATGCACCTACTAATGACGCGTACTTCCTCGAGACGATGTCTCGACCTCGCCCCATCAGAGGCCTTGAACTTGTTTCCGCCGCAGTCCGGGGAATTCGACGATTCCGGCCGCAATGTTCCGATAATAATACTTTTCCCTCGATTACTCAGTCGATATGAGCCTACGGCCAGCTCCTCTTTTCATCGGTCGGATCTCTACAATTCCTCCGGCCGCCACAACGATTTCCAGCCCGTCCCAATGGACTCCGTTCCGCCAGGTATCGACTGAGACGAAAACGCGCGCTCATCAGAGTCTAATTCCTAAGCCTCCGCTTGCACCTCTTGATTCCTACGCGGGAAATAAAGGTAGACATGTCGATCTAGAGCGAGGCTTCGCGGTCGATCGAAGTTTCTTGCTCGATTTTTTCTTTGATCATTAGATTCCTCCACGGAACCGCGGAGGAATTTTACGAGATCGATACTTTGTGGAAGCTCATAAATATCGTGACGTCAACGTACAAAGACGATGAGAACAAAGCAATAAAAGTGGCTTTTTACAAAGTGGATGGAAGCCAGCGAAGTCGGTGAGCATCATGTAGGTACATAGTTACTGCCCACCAAGTGGCAAAAAAACGCTGCCCGTAGCACGCTCGGCAAAACGAGCGTAGTGTTCGCCCAGAGGCTCCGCGAGGACGACTCGCCGACGTGGAGACAGAGTCGGAATACCTAGGAATCCGCTGGGCGTTAGCCTCCGCAGGCTCGAGGCGAACCCAGACCCAGTTCTGCAGTCACAGGCATCGCTTCCAAGCTCAAAGGCAGGAAGCAAAAGGTTTCTCCCCGCGGAGAGAACGGCCATGTTTTCGTTAGACTGCGAGACAGCTGTGTTCCGTGTTCTTCGCACCCGATTCCTCTCTGTTTCTCTTGTTTCAAAGTTCCCTCCATAGAATAGAACTCGAGCCAGATATCGCGTGACCGAGAAGAAGCGCGCCGATTCTCTTGCTCATTCACGAACGGATACAGATCACTCGACCTCTGCGCGAGCATCAGACCTCACAATTAGAGCAATCAGCTGGAATGGTCACAGGTGGGAGAATTCAAATGCTTCAACGCCGAACCGCAGAATAAACACGATGCGCTCCGCTACTCAATTCTTGGATTGAATCCGAATTTGAATTGCTGATAGCTTCCAGATACGGCCGCTAGTTCAGCCTATAAGCCTTCGCAGAAAAGCTCAATTGACCCGCAAAACGCGTCTTGGTGTTGGATTATGGAATCGCGCGAATTTACGCACGCATCGAAGGTAAGAATCTCATGGAAGTTCCAGCTCGAGGGGATTGACCTAACGTTAGGAATTTCTGTCTCCTGAACATGGTCTTACCTTTCTTGTGCTGTTTACTCTGCGACTTAAGTGTATTGTTGTCATTCTCCAACATCTGTATCCGAGTGGCAAGATGATGCATGTAGCTGCTCTCGCGAATCACTTGGTTCAGCGAGGTCATCGGCAGTTTATCTGCAAAAGAATCGAAAGTTGAGAAGACCAGGCTAAAAATTCCGTGATTGATAATGAGCGCTCTTCTCGCATCGATCATCGATGCGTGTACGCATCGGGCAGGCCAACGGCGTGACAAGCGCACTCCTCCCGAGAATTCGAAGTTGCTGATGCAAATCATGTACGGCGGGCAGCCATATTTCTCGGGTGAGAATAGAAAGCGCGTGCTTTCTCCGCACCATAGCTTTCTGAAACATCGCAAACATTTGGATTCCCTTCAACGCTCACATACATAGATGGAAGTTGAGGAATTGAAGCGAGAAAAACGAGCTCACGCCTGCTCGCTTCCGGACACATACATCGCTGCACCCAATAATTTCTATCACTCCTCATTCGCTGGCTTCGGAGGAGTGCCGCCACAAGTTATGAGAATGAATGCCCGTTCTTCAAAAAAATATTTCGAGAAGAAAGATTCGGACCGTCGACAGCGACCAGCACGCCTGGACTCTCGGCGACGGCTCTCGCACTATGATCGATCGAAAGCCTCCATATTTAGCTCGGGAGCCTAATGACGGCCACAGCAATCATGACATGAATCGATTTTCTTCTTCCTTATTCCGAATTCTCCCTCGAATGCTATCCGGGTGTTTTCAGTCAGATAATCTTCCAGTTCCGATAAGTCATCCATGAATGACTCGTCATTGATCGAGGCATAGACCGCATGGGGCGTCTCTCTCGGAGTGTTACAAGACCACAGGCGCTCGATTCGACTGACGAATCTCTAATGGAATCACTCTGTTGCAGGTTTTTGTTGTCGACGTCAACTGTGTCGACACGAGTTCGAGCGACAGGTCTGACCCGCCAAGGGTAAATGTATTCTCGATGTCGTTCGAAGTCATCGATAAGGCGACGCCGAGCAAGACGAGCGCACTCCGACTTACACGATCTCCGTCATGGAGTTATTCATCACGTCGCAATCAACATGCTCGAGTCTCCCGCATATCGACACGGACTCCGACGTCAAATTTTCATCGCCTCACCCCCTTCCGTGTCGGAAGCCTCCCCCGGAGCGTATTCTTGGTCTGAGGCACTCACCGAACCCCGAATAAGCATTGCCCCGAGCTGCGTTCCTCCTTCTCAGCCAAGGAAAACCAATGCTATCGGACACAGTACACATGACTCGCTCTCGGCGGGCTTACCAATGTTGATATTGTTCCTGAGTAGCTTCTCCACGCTCTCGTCCAATGTGCTGAATCCGATAGGCAACACGTACACCGAAGATTCTCTTCCCACGCTCCAGGGTCGCTCGATGAGGCAATGCGGGACCACAAGCAGCTGACCCGGAGCCGCACGGACCTGTCAAGTTGAATCACCTCATGAAATTATCTCATGCCCGTACGATCACACACCAATCACGTCGATGACGGCTCGGCTTATCCTCTGGACGAGTGTGCCGGGTACGAAGCGCGAGAAGCGCTGCGGACAAACAACACGTACCTTGATATCGTAGAGCAATACCCGAACGGAGAAGGGCAGATCGTCAAAAGCGTTCTCGCTCTGTATTGCTCTCCCATTGCTTTTACTGGGGCCAACACCGCCACTGCTGCTGTTGTTGTTGTTGTTCTTGTGAGCATGAAGGCTTTCTTGGAACATGTCGGCAAGTCCGGCTATCGATCCTGAGCTCAGCTTCAGCTCGAGACCCTGAAAGCAATCAGAATAATGGAAACCTATATTTCGTAGACGGAAATTGATCAACGACACGACGCCGCTAGACAGCCGAGCCGCATGCAACGAAACGTGGGGGTCCGTACGGTCCATACGGAAAGACGAGTCATATTTTCTCGAGCCAACTACATTCTCCTTTCCCTGCTAGCAAGAATTGCATTCGCCCCCACCCCGCGCCCTATCCGGGGAAGGAGAAATGAGCGAGATGGCGTCTCTCGCCCGCTGACATGTTCAATCGGAGCATAATTCCCTGCTCGAGGCTCCGGCCGAGGGTTTCATTTTATTTCAACATCGTTCCCGCTCGACCTCACGACGATCGGTAACTGCGTAAATCACTCCGAGACCTGAAGAATCACGCCGGCCCGTCCTATCCGCTTCGCCCCTCCCATCCCCGTATCCGATCCACTTAAATAAACCGGAGCACGAGATTGAAGAAAGAGCCGTTCCGTGCCGCGCTGGAATGAGGCGCAGACGAACGCAATACAGCTCCCGCTACCCTTACCCCCTCTCCCCCCACACACCCCTGCCGTGAAGTCTCGCTTCTTCTCTTCGGCACCCGAACGTTTTCCAGAAGAACGAGCCATCGAGAGGGCAGAACCGCCTCCTCGAAGTAAGTTCAAGACGCGGGTTCCCTTGCCTCACCCGCAACTCGATGGGCGTTGGGTCAGGCGTAGAGACGAGCCAGCGGGCGGACGGACGGGCGGGCTTGTCTTCCTGCTTTGCGGTGCTTTGCCACCGAGTGCCGTTTGCTACGAACGCCAAACAAGCGTGGCCTGTTCTCTGTTCCCGCTCGGTGCACGGACGAACCGCCGGCCGAACCGAGGAACCAGCGGAACTCCTTCGCACTATCACTCGGTCTCTCGCTATCGTTCTCTCGCTGTCGGTTGCGCTCGCAGCAGATGGGAACAATGATGAACTGAACGCGATTTCGCTTCATTGAATTTTATGAAGGACCCCTGGACGCAACTCAAGGAACTTCAGAGATAAGCGGAAATTGCTCCTTGTACACTACGAGACGCTAAATAAATTATACTTTACAAACCATCTATCCCATGGGGCGGCCGACAGTGGGCCCGTCCGACCCGGGCCCTAGCCCACTGCACGAGCGAGAAGATCGACGGACTGACCGACCGACGGGCATCCAAACGACCTCACTAGCTCAGGAGAATGTATATACGGCTGACGACGGATAGTAATTCCGCGCCGAAAGCTATTTCGTACATCAAGATTCCGTCTCGGTCGATCCAACGGGGGCAACGATTTCAATATCAGGGGGAGGGGGAAACTAAGGAATCCCCCAACCCCTTCCCCACGAAAAATAACGCTCCACAGTATTCCGAGATTTAAAACTCCCATCGATGAGATTTCTATTTTATAATAATCTATAATAATCCCATGCCTACCTGAACCAGTAGCTGAAGTCGCTGGGCCTCATTGAGATCCACTCTGCCACTTGCGAGGCAGGTCGCGGCCAGCTGTTTGTTGAGGGCGTTCTGGGTGGCGACGGTACGAGTCCGCGCACTGAACTCAGCCTGGTAGACGTCGCGTTCGACGGAGCTGTTCTCTTCGAATTCGATCGAGTGCATTTGATATAGGAGTGAGTCGTTCACGACTGCCAACTGGATGTCCCGAACTTTCAACACTACCACCGACACCAAGTGTGATGGATTGTCCGACTCTGCTGCGCTCAACTGATCGTCGAGGTCTTCGTTCACCTCGTGGGCCTCCTCAGCAGCCTCTTCGGCCAACTCGATTCCGGCCAAAAGCTCTTTGCCATGTCCAACTTGATTTCCGTCACCGAGCATTCCGGCCCACCGTTCCGCGATCGAGTCGCTTTCGTCCGAACGCACCGATAGAGCGTCCATTGCGTCCTCGCACAGCGACGTCGAAACCGAGAGCGAATCTGTGTACGACGCGCTCGGGAGTCCCAGAGAACCGAATTGCGGTCTTATCACCTCCGCGGCCGCCGGCAGAGATTCCGTAGAACTTATGGTGGGGGGCTCTCGGATCGCGCCGAGTCGTCAGATCCGAAGTTTTCCTGTTTCGTGGTCGCCATCTTGAAGCCCGCGTTGGCTTTCAGTACCAACGATACGTTGACCATGGGCAACATAACGCCCAACATTGTGTCCAATGGCGAACGGGGTACTGTCGTGCTTTTCCGAATGTCGAGCTTGAGTTGATGTATTAAAAGTGCGAGCATTTTAGCTTTTCCCATCAGATGGGGAAAATGATTATGACAGATTTGGACGTTCACAAGTCCGCGGACGTGGGCGAGAATTTGCTTCTGACAGTACCACAATGTCAACGGGAGCGGATCCAAAATGGTTTCGGGTCTGTGCCCTGTGGAAGAAAAAGAAGGTTTTTCCGGATAATTCCCACCAGGGATCCTAGACCCATCTCCGGCTTGCTGGGGTCGAACTAGAATCCCTTATGCCTTTGACCTATGACCTATGACTCTACGGTAGCAATGAGCGGTGATTCTTGCTCTCCGGTCTGAGTTTGCCAGGTGTCAAGATCTACGCCGAACACGGCCATCTATCACGGCCACGACAAGTTCGGGAGAGCCATTACGAACAAAAACTCTTCTCTCGCTCCCCCGGGGTCCCTTGGTAATAAGCGTCGCTTCAGCAAGGGCTGATAAATTCTGTGGACAAGTCGAGATAAGATACGGAGATCCGACCCGCCGGTGCGCTGTTTTCTGAATCAGCGAAATTCTACTGCGCGATTTTCCGCAGGATGTGCGCGGATTTGGCGCCCGGAGCCGGCGTTCTGAGGGCCCACTCAAGCAGCCGCGAGCGAGCGGCGAGAAATAGACCCGAGGAGCGGCGGATTAAACTCCGCGGATTATAACATACGGGGAGCCTTGGAGGCCAGTACTCGGCCAGAGTGACCGCAACAATCTCGGACAGCCAGTCAGCAAGAGAGACAGATGGAGAAGTGGGCGAGAAAGCAAGAGAAAGAAGGAGACATACGGGGGACGGGGAGTAGCCGCAAGGAAATTAGGTTCGTCCAAGTGGGTAGGCGGCCCCGAGAAGGACCGGAGCGACAAGAGGCCGGGAAGCTGGGCAGAAAACGTCGGAGCAAGGACACCATCGTGTGCGACGATGATCACGAGGCGCGATTATCCGACAGACTTAGAACAGGAGAGGGCGGTTTTCGCTCCTAATTTAGGCGCACGTAAGGTTCGCGAATGCCCTTCTACGTCACAAGTAACGTGTAGATTCAAAATTCATGTTCATGCGGAGGGAGTTTCGCGGAGCTCCAATAATAATCAATGAGTTACACCGAAGAGGAACTGACCTTTTTCGATGAAATCAACCCAAACCGGATCAACGCAAACCGACCACACGTCCTCCTTTGTTCCCTCCTCGGAAATACAATGATTCACTATATGCTGGGAGACGGCCGACGCTCCGGGAGGGGTTCGGAGATCTCCATCGGACCAGGGATATTTGTTCGTCTCAAAGAACAAGGGTCCTCTTGAGAACGAATCCAGGGCTTGTTTGAGTTCTGCTCGCGAGGAGGAAATGCCCTCTCTGGAGTTGCTGCAGATTATTCGACTGCACTGAGCAACGACTTCGTCGAACATTACCTGCGCAAAAACAAAGGGCGGGCTGAACAGGATCCGAGTTTCCATCTTTGAAGTCGCCACCGAGAGAGAAGAGACCTCCCGACAGAGTCGTCGGTGGAGCGCACTCGCCTCCTGATCGAATCAAATTCAAATACCTTCGTCAAGTAGATCTCAACACGGCACATGGTGATGGGCGTCTCGTGGCTAAATATGAACAGGTTCTCTCTAATTATGGAGCGCATGAACGCAACGCCCCACAGTAAGGTGGGTATGTCCAATCGTATAATACTGGGACCCAGGTTGACGTAGCAATACGGTTGGGGCGGGGACAAATCGGAAGAGCTTCCTGTAATGAGAGGCACGAATGAATTTGAAAAGACAGAGAGCGTGAAGTCGAAGCAAATATCCTCTCCGGCGATCATTGCGCGGAGCTCCGAATTTCAGGTCCCTTTCCAGGGATCGAGCACCATCAACAAGAAACTCAACTCCGAGATACTCGGGCGAGACGAATCTATCCATCCGGCCGTAAATCGGAAATATTTTTAACGTATTCCACGCCATCGAGCATACGGCGAAGCGGATGCGCCGGCGATCAAACTCACCCGGATAATAGTACGATGTGAAATCAATAAATATGGCTTTCTCTGAAGCAATGTTGTAATTATTGAGGAAGGGTTGGCGTTCAGCCCTTGTGGAGGTCGACACTTTATAGATTGTGAACTTGTCGACGATCAGTAACGTTGTTGAGCACATCAGGTGTAGAGGTAGTCGATACTCGTTCTCCGCGCACATTAGTTTATTCTGGAACAGATACGGAACGACTTGATCGAGAATCGACGCACGCGACTTCGATCCCCCGGCACAATCACTTCATCCACGGGGCGGAGTCTATGAGGTGAGTCAAACTTTGCGGACTGGGGCGGCCGCTTGCGACGACACCGCAATGTACCGCCTAGAGTCCGCGATCGCATGAACGACTGCGTGATGTTTACGCACGTCAGGAAAGGGGGGGAGGGAGGGGAGCGATGAGCGGAAAAATGACATGACGAAGCCAGTATGAAAAGAGCACATGTAGCTCCGACCTACGACTGACCTTTTTGGCATAATTGAGATGCATTTCGTCGAGCCAAGGCACGCGATCCCCATTGGGTTCCTGATATCTCACCCAGTGATGTCTTCCCAGGCATGCTCGGTGGAATGGGTAGTGATCGATTTGTAGATTTTTCAATGTGACCTGAAATCATCGAAGCCAGAGGCCCGACTCGATCAGAATGTCTCGAACCTTAGGCACGCGTGGCTCCGAGCTTCCAAGGGTGATCCGATTCACGAAAACCGGAGGTCGAAACTAATGCGAATCACCAGTCACGCTCACCTGCAGGCAGCCTCCTTTTTCGAGCTCAGGAAGTCCCGATCGGCAAACAGACCCGGTTGCCGTCTCATCCACCAGATGGAGGTCTATAGCGGTGCAGAAAACATGGTATGAAGTCTCAGCAATGTCGTAAGCACGCCAAACTGCAGTTAGAGGCGTCTCTTTCTTCGACAGATTTTTTGCATAAGAAGAATCGATGGGCAGAGCTAGGTGCTTGCCGGCTTGCAGCTGGAAACCAAGGAATAAAACCTCAGAACTGCAAACGCGAATCTTTTTTCCTTCAGGAATAGAAAAATTAGCCGACTCCCGCCTGCTCGGGACCTCCCGGGGTGCCCGAGGTCTATCATTCCCGCGACGGGCATCGAGCTCTCGAGGCGAGATGATGTGTTCGACGACATCTACGGCAGGTCTGCACTCACCTTGTGTGACAGGTCGGTCGCTTTCTCGATGAGATCAGCTAGGGAATTCGCGAAATGTAGCGCAGCGACCATCTGTGCATCCGTAAAAACCCACAGTAGTTGGTCGAAGACCACGAAAAGCCGAGAAGTGACTAGCGAACAATCTGCAAGCCTTTTCTTGAGCGTCAAACGACATCTAGCGGAAGAAGTTAACAATCGTAGAGGTGACAGGGCAACCAGTGGCGTTGCAGGCTTGGATGAAACCTAGACGGGGAAGGAAGGTTTGCTGAATCCTGTCCGGTCTGGAATTTCGATCAACAAGATTTCTTGTGATAATTCGAGACGGTACCTTCGCCTCGATGCGCATCGTCTGCCATTCGATTTGTTTGAAGAGTAAAAGTTCATTTGTGTCGCGATTCTTAAGTCTACATTGCCGCAGGTCCCCCTTCTGCCAATTCGGCGTCCGAGAATCAACAATTAGACGTTGGAGCTGCAATGAATATAATTCGATGAGTTCATCTGTCCAGTGAATAGACACCGGACAGCCACACGTATTGACTGGGAATGCCCGAAAAAAAGTTGGACCCAGTAAACGGCGGATCCTCGACAAATAAGAGCAAGGATGGCGCACAATATTCAGGAAAAAAGTACGCAAGTATCCTTTTCTTATTCAAATGGAAATGGGACGATTGTATTTCCGGTGTCATTTGAGGGAACGATCAATTCCGCATAGGTGCACTCACGTCGAGAGTCGCCTCGAACGCCGGACTTTGGAGGTGAATGTTGACCGAGTTGACTATAATTGTGATGGAATCTAAAGTCTGTTCTGCAAAACCGTACCGACCCGACGTATAGCTCGGTTTCGTGGACGGTATGATGTTCCGCAGTTGTTCGCAGGTCTCGACATGGATTTCGACATGGTCCAGCGTGATCACAATGGGTTCTGACTTCAGTTTCGTCCACGGCACCTGTGAATTTCCGATTCCGACTTTTATTCTCTCGTTGGAGTAAGGACTAAGCGCGAGACGGGCATCCGAATGGAGCTTCCCACAGGCTCCTCGATTAAAATACGAGCAGCTCTGCCTGGAGGAAATGTGGGCGGAGACGGATCAGTTCTTCGAAAGTTCACCTTGAACCTGATTAATTCTCATTTTCTGCCGGTAAGCCGACCTCGCATGGGAAAAGGTCGGTCGTATTTTGTAGACTACACCCGGTTTTATTCCTGAGAAGACTCGTCGGGGGGAGCAGCTATGGGGTAAGAAGGTTTCTCGACGTCTTCCTCCGAGACAAACTCAGATCGTCTGGACCTCTTTGCTCCTAATCCCACTTCGTTCGTCCTTGCCCGTCGACTATCCCCGACGAATCTGCTCCGAGTGAACAACCGAGACAAGTCGCCGCGAATCAGCCAACCAACCAGCTGAGCGAGCGACCGAGCAAGCAAGCAAACAAACAAACGAGCGTCACTGGACTAAGACGCATACTGAACAAGGATTTCGCAAAAAGTCGCCTTGATTCGGAAAAAAATTGAATTTTTCTGCGAGTTTCGGAGTAAAGCACCTTGTATTGAGGGGTTGGGAACTGCGATGGTGACGACTTTTCATTATGAGGCCCATCGATGACGCCATCAATAAATCGATTTGGGGCAGTCCCTTCCCGAGCGAGCCCTGAGCGATAAAGATACAAACCTTCAGAGCGGCGGAGTTGCAGAAGGCTCGGGTCAAGGAAAGCCAACATGGAAGCTCGAGGAGTTCCATAAGGAGCTCCTCGTTGAGTTCGAGATTTTGGAGTTCGCATCTTCCCTTCAAAGCACTCAACTGGATATTCTCTACAGAGAGGTTTTTTGTGAATCTGCAAGAGAGGAGAGACGTATGAGAATTCAATGATTCGAAGATATTGTATCGAGGAGTCAACCCGATCAGTCAGTGGGTCGATTCATCTCCTTGAATCGGGAGCAAAGAAGACTTTCAGGAGATCGAGAGCACGGGAAAAATTCTCGCGGGGAGGAAAATCCCAACACTCGTCCGGGAGGTTAGTGATTCCGGCAGCGGGAAAGAGGAAACGGGACGGAGGGAGTCAACGCAGACTCCACCCTATCGCTCGCAAGTTCGGAAAGAACGAGCTGAAGCCACCGATGTTTCTTGCGATTCGATGCGACACGGGACAAAACTTCGACGCTCTCTGCGATTTTCATCGGTACCGTCCGCGGAATCTCTCAATTGAAATCCGGTAACAAGATGGTCACCTTTCATTGATCAACGAGACGATTGCATGAAATCTCCAGGTGCCAGCGAATTCGAGTTGATAGTTGAGGGCAGTTCGTAGCGTCTGCGACTGGTACCATCCGAGCTCCGTCGCGGGAGGAGAGCGCCGCTCCCGAAACGATTCCCCAAAGTCGATTTCTCTCCTATCGCTGAGCTGGTACCACAAGGGCTCAAGGGAAGCGATATCCTGTCGTCGCTTGCGGGCATCTCAATGCAGCGGCAAATTTCCCCCTCTCTCGACAATTGTGAGCAGACGGTTTCTTCAACGAAAAGCTCTCCCGGATGAAAATCAAGTCACCAAGAGTCCAATAAGAGCTCCGAACAAACGAGGTCTGGTGAATGAGCGCGCGAGCTTCCTGTGAGACAAACCCCGTAACTAGGTAGCTAGTCATCCCAGAAGAAGCAGACGGCGTCGACGACAAGGCAATGGACGACGAACCACCGCCAGGAGCGATATTGTTCCACTTCAATTTGCAGTCGAGAAGTAGAAACGGAGCTAAATCGCTCCACTCCACGAGGGGCTTGCGACAGCAGCCGCTTCTTCTTCCTCGAGTGTCATCGATCGCTCCTAGCGGATGAACTACCGAATTAGGCGGAGATTTGCAGGGATCGATCTGGATCGTATCGCTCACTGGAAGATTCCGGACACGCTCGGCTTTCAAGACGAAGGAGTAGCGGGGAGGATCCGGAATGTAGAGAAAAACAAGCCGCCAGCGTACTCTCCGTCTCTCTGTTCTACTCATAAATATTCACTGGCTCGGGCTCCTTTCAGAAATCAAAGCGGCTTGTAATCAAGAATTCTTCGGAGATCCCTTGATTAGGAGTCGACGGTCGACTCGCCAAACACCGATGGAAGGAGACGCCCGCTTCGCTGGTGAGACGACCGGCCCATGCAGCTTCAAACGTCGCATGCTCGTCCGAATAGTACAAAACACGCTCTCGGTAGCTCGCTTGCCCCTGTGACGGAAACTTCCCTCTACTTTTTATTTTCGGCTGATGAGATAAATATCTATCACGACACGGCGTGCTCGGCGAGTCCAGCCGACGTCATCAGAGCTCGTCGTCGAGAGTCCTTCGAATGCTCGGATTCGAAACGGTCTCAAACTTCAGAACCAACCGGCTTGTGTTCCTGCATTCTGAGTACCCGAACCGCTCTCGACCGATAATCCAAGAAACTTACTTGAACATCAATTTCAAGGCAGGCGATTTGCGGAAGGGGAAATATCCTTTAGTCAGACGTTTTTTGAGCTTTTTTAGACGTTTCTTAATTTTCGAAGGCATGCTTGCGACTTCGATTCGATCCGACTTCGATGGTGTCTAGGAGACGAGGTGTGACTCGCTGAGTGAAATCACTGACCATCTTGAGCCGCCATGATCGAACTTGCAAACTACATGTCAAGGCTTCCACCGGGTGCTTCGTTCCTCCGTCCGGAATAAGTCACCAACTATCCGAAACGGGAACGTCGCAAGAACCGTATTGAACGCACATCGGAACTTTCCACAGATACGACGGTGCCGACAAGCGACTGGAAGTTGAAGCAAACAGTTGCGTGCTGGTCGAGGCAGAACCGAAACGAAGCCGCCGAAGGCAACTTGCGGAAAAAATACGTGGAAGAGAAGAGTGAGGGCGAAAAGTTGAAGTTGCGAGCCGAACCGCTCAGCTCCGGTCTGATGAGGGCCATTCGTAATGCATCGCCACTTGAAGCCTTTAGCAACGTGAGCTGTCGCCGCGCAATGAGATCCTGTGCGAATTGTGGAATGGCCAGGTTGGTCTTGACTGGGTGAATCCAAAAGGGGAGCGCTATTTTTGAGTTTCTAATGTCTCTCCGCTCATCCCATTTGGTGATGAAATTTCCGAAATCATCTGATGCTCCCCAGGACGAGGAGCGAATTCTTGAGAAAGTTCGGCATTCAGCGGGATCGAGGAGGGAAAGGGAGGGAAAAATCGGATGCCTGAAGTAGTGGGAGAACAACAAGGGGGGATTATTCCCGAACCCATCTGAATGAAATTATTTTGTTTCATAGCCTCCTTTCCCGTTTTCAGGGATTTTGGCGATTTCTGTGAACGATTTTCTGTTGTTTAATGGAAACAAACTTGGACCTTGACTGCTTCTTATTTTCTTGTCGGTCCCCACTGTCGGCGAGAGCGGGCGCACAAGCAAGTAGCTCATCAGATCATTGAACAGGATCCGCAAAGGCACGCTCCTTGATTTTGAATCGGACATACGACGTCTCGAGAATTCTACAAAACTCGGAACATCTTTTTCTAGGAGGCTCGACTCCGGATCTCGAGAATTTCACCGTTCGCATTTGAAACAAGACATATGTTCCGCTCCGAAAATCGATCCAGCATAGTCATTGACTAGAGGGGATGTCTCAGCGCGTTTTGATTCCCTTGAAAATCGAAATTTCGAGAGCTTCACCGCGGAGTAGTTCAAAGAGCGGGGAGGGGGGCTTCCACAGAAGTTGATAAATCCCACTCGCCCCGCGTTCTATCACTTTGCAGTAGTACATATTATACGCCTGGGCGATTCGAGGGAGGGTGGTCTGCTCGACACGTAGGGCTCGCAATCGGAGGAAACCGATTCGACGACGGATCCAATCCTCAATGCTCGTAAATTCAGCGTGAATACTTGGGCTCGATCGGAAGCGCATTTCCCAAACGTCTACAGAACGAAGCTTGTGTCGCCGATGCGGCTTCACGGATTCGTATTTTGTATCATCGTCGACCAAGTTCCAGGGAAGGGGCTCGAAACTACATCGGGACTCTCCTATTCCACGACTCGGTAGATATTTCGCATGAAGTTGAAGCTACAGAGCATCTACTAGCTTGATGCGGGAGACACCTCCAGATAGAGATTTCCCCCTAAGGGTTGTGTCCTCGGCGAACTCCGGGAAAATTTTTATCAATTATTTTTCCGCAATAAATAACCGCGATTCGCTCAGCTCGGGTTTTTCTTTGCTGTTTGATAGCGATTGCATCACAGCGCTCTGCAATGCACAAGTTTCGATCCTAAAAAGTCTACGGAAAGCCGATTTCTCAAGTTCTGATGCACGCTCTGGGAGACTTGGCGCTGCGTAAATCGAGGAGAGCGCCATGAATGCAGATGCCATATACGAGAGCGAACAAGTGTAGACAGACTCCCAGGACGAACAACTTAGCACCAAGAGACTACTCGAGCCGCGTAAACATTCCCAACACGAGTGGTCAGCCCTGCTGCCACCCCGAACTCTCGCGAACGGGGGTATTTCTGTGACAGGTTCTCCAACTTGTACCTCCTCTCGCGCTCGAACATTTGACGACCCGAGACCACCAACGTCGACAGAAACCATTTGAGGGAGAAGCGGGACGGGTACTCACTTGGACAGATGTTTAAGAACTTGGTTCCGGATAAGGGACACCATGTTGCCAAGTCCAACACTTGGTCACTCTCTGTGTCAGTTGAGAGGGGGCCTCTCGAAAGGCTGCAGGTATCCACTCTGCTCCGGGGGACACTACATTCAACAGCTGATACCTAGCTGACATTCGAAGGCAGGAAAGCAAGTGAAACACCAGAGGAGCAGCGTAAGTTATCGACACGCTCACTGGGCTCTGGGGCCTGTTTGGGAATAAACTGGAGAACACACTGCCGCAGTGGAGCGTTGCCGGGACATCCTCCCCCCCGAGGATCCTGAGTGTGAGCGAAAAAATAAATCCCAGAAGACGAGCGAGTCATCGACGTACGAAGCTGGTGCTTAAGAGCTCCAACCCCCAAGAAAGCATGATCGAGAGATTACGGCTGCTGTCAAACCCGGGCGAAAGCCAAACCCCAAACACATACGAAGCTGTACAGGACACGCTCGGTGCCTTGTGTGTTCTTCTCTCACGCTCACTCCTCCCTCTGCGAACCACTGCAGTGTGTGTGTGTGTGTTCGAGTGAGTAGCAGCAGTCCGCCGTCGTCGTTGTTGTCGCCGCCGAACGACAACAACGAGACGAATCGGACTCACAAACGCACCGAGTGAGGGAGTGGAAGAGGTACCGTCGAGCAACGGAGCCAAGCGACCGTGCGAGTGCGTGTCGACTGTTGTTCGAAGAGTGCGCCCGTGAAGTATCCCGTTCCTCGACCATTGGAGCCGAGCATGAGGCTGAAGAACAGGAGAAGTGATCCGAACGAGCAGACTCGACCGATCAGCTGAAGCTCCCGTTCATCAGCTGGCACCGAGGAACACTCGTCCGAGGACCACCTTCCTGTCCCAGATTCCCGTCGCCCCTTAATCCATCGCCCGGGACTTCCCTACGGCGCGACGATGGCCAACTTGAAGAAGCATTTCGCGTTCAAAGTCGGTGCGGGTGGAAACTCTTCGTCGGGGGGTGGCGGTGGGCATGGAGTCTCCCTGTCGTCGGAATTGTTGCCTCCCGGATTTTCGAAATCCGCCTTCATGAACGAAGTGTCCTCACTGCTCGATCAGTGCGGACCCTACATATCGGCCATGAACGCGTTCTGTACAAGTGGGTGTTCGTTTGCAAAGTGCCTCGTTCGAGTGTTCCACGCAGTGCCTCTGTATCGAGAGACAGCGACGACGCTCCTATCGAATTGGGAGGAGATCGCGCAGACCACGGCAGCGGCCTCTGCATCGGTGAAGACCGAAACTCTCATGCAGCTGCAAGACGTCCTGACGCGGCTCGAGACGTCGGGCGAGAATAAAGAGGACGAATTGGCCGAATCCGTGCACGCGGTCTCCTCGTGTCTGATGGCGTACATCGAACTCCAAGCACAATTTTCCTATTCGGTGTTCAAAGCTCTCGGCAAGCTCTCGCGTCAACAACAGAACGGTTTCCTGAAGACGAGTCGAGCCGAGGAGGCAGTGAGGAAACAGTTCTCGCAGATCATCAATCGACTCACCGGGCCCTCAGTCAAAACTCTTCCGTCGGCGCCGATATCTCAGGCCGCCGTTGTCGTTAGTTCACCGTCGCAACAGGCGCTGCCATCTGTCGGTGTGTGGCCCGCTGAGATCCATTTAGCTCCGAGTAGCGGAGAGCTTCTCGTATCCACCCAGCCGGATTCTGCGGCCTGCATGACCGAAATTCCTGATAGCGGCCTCGATGACGTCATAAACCTATTATCGATTGGTGCCGTTAGTCCCCCGTCTTCTGCACCTTCGGCTTCCTCCGCGTCCTCGTCGTCGACGGTGCCCCCGAAAGTTCCCCCGCGTCCCGACGCCTTCAGCCAGGACGCTTTCAGGATCAAACAGCTACAACAACGACAGGAGTCTTCGGGAAGCGGGGCCGAGGCCGCCGCCGCTGCCGCCGCCTGCGACGACACCAAGCTCGAAACGCCGTCGTGGTCTCCCTGGGGACCCGACTGGTCGACCGAAGATCTCAGCAATTGGCCGTCACACTCGTCGGACGCTTCGGATCACGACCCCGGCTGGATGCGATGGCAATCAAGCAGTGCCAAAGAAAAAACTCAGACTTGGCCTCGTCCCCTACGTGATCCCGCCGCGCCATGGGAGTGGCAAGACGATGGAATGGAGGAAATGTTCGGCTCGTGGAAAGTTGGAACTCGCGACGGAGATCGAGTCGCGAAGACCTGTACGTGGCCTCTGAAAGTGGCCGCCGCCGGTACCGCCCCCTCCACGATCGCCACAACCACGACTACCTCTTCGGAGAGCTCTTGGCATGAAGCCGATCCCTGGAGGAAAGACGACTCGTTGCCAGCCCCGAGTCAAACGACGCCCTGGAAAACCGGCGACGAGGACCAAGGCTTCCACTTATTCAATCAACGGTGAAAAAAATCAGTCAGTAGGATATATGTATTTCGAGCACTGGGGTCATCATGATTCCGTGCGAGCATCGATCGAAGATGAGGAGAACGATGCGGAACTTGATTATAATGAAATCCGGATATCGACGACGAATGAGCTCGGCGGGTGAAGTCACAATAGAACAATGAACGATGCCATTCTCTCCAATGAAGAATGAATCACGATCGCTAGTCTGATAGTTATTTGTTGTTTCCGAACTCTGAGAACAACGTCGACAGTATTTGCAACCCACAACGACACAATACAGGGAAGAATCGATTTTCCATTTCTCGGTTCTCGACTCAATTGACTCGCTTTTGGGGAGTCGAAGAACCTCTCGGGACGCTTATATTTTCTTAAAATTGTCTTTTGTACATATCCGACGAGATTTTGTGGCAGATTCTATTCATGACTGTTCGGCTGAACTGTATTTTGATACGGCGAATAAATGAGCCCTAAATAATTGTTGTTAAATCCTCAAGACTCTTCGCTGACGTCCCTGGAGCTGGGAAAGCCCTCAGTCGAATCTGGGTCTACTCGGTGCCAAAATTTCCAGGAATCCATGTAGATCCGCTGCAGAGGCAGATGTCGTTTCGTTAAGAAGTACCGTGAGCGCTCCGTGTGTGTCCGTCTCGATGATGCTCCCGAAGTAGAATTTCTCCTCCGTGGAAGGGGAAGAGGCATCTCTCTCCGATGCACCACGCTTTCCGAGCTCTTCGGGCCTTAGACGGAGCAGGTCCGTCAGGTAACGACCATCAGCTGTATGGGGCGCCGAACCCCGAATCCGCGAAGTTCATGAGTCGCAGGACGCGCGAGCATTGAAGCTCGCGAGAGGGAAATAAGGAAAACCCGCCATCATTGAATAAGGTACATCCCGTTTTTATATTAATTATTATAGTTATTCTCATCGAGGATCGCCCCGGTTCCAAGCGCCGAAATCTCCCTCGGGGAAAAATTCGAATGAGCCAGCTACATCCTCCTCGTAGCATTTCCTGTCCTTTCCGAAGGCTCCCCGGAGAAGGAATCAACGTCTTTACGCCTCACACCACACATTCACAGACATCATCTTATTTGCAGATCGCCTCGCCTCACACGGGCTCGACTCCCTGTCACATTTGAATCGTGTATATATCATCGGACTCCCTCTCCGAAAATTAGACACCGTCTCTTCGATGGTTTCGCTCATATTTCGATTTGTTCGTCTCATATCATGAATTGAGTCTCCGTCCTCTGCTCAGGCCGCGATATCCAGGATATCGGTCTTCATGCCTTTGCCGTTCCAGACGCTCTTGAACTGTTCGGGGATTGCGCATTCCACCTGGAAACGGGGGCAGAGTTGATAAGGGGTCATGACTCATGACACCAGGCTCTATCGGGATCTCAATCCGACCCAAGTGACTTCGGAATTACTCGAGTGCACGCTTTGAAACCCAGAAGAATCGAGAAAAACGATGATATTCCCGGAATTTATGGCGAGAATGTACTCACGTAGTCACCGTCAGGCCCTGAGGGCACCGACACGTTGACCTCAGAGGCCTTCGAAGTGACGATTTCGGCTTTTGCACTGGCTTCGCTTAAATAAATATGAGCTCCATCGGTTTTGTCGATCGAGAAAATCGGGATCACTCCCATCGCTTGAGCCTTGACAGACTGGCAGTTGACGAACTCAACAGTCGACACGATATCATCGAACACGATCGATGTTTTCTTGCAGTTGTCTACCGAGATCGAGTTACATTTGCCCTTGACAATGATGACGGAGTTCTGGCATCCGTATACGTAGACGACCTGATTCATGTGCACATCATCGAGGACGAGCTGGGGGACGTCCCTCTGGAACTCGACGATCCACTTTTTGCCATCGAGCTCACACCTGCGGGAAACAGATTCCTAAGATTCGGGAAGTCCCGGGTCGCGTGCTCGGGGACAAAGCGCGAAGAGGACGGCCGAGACCGAGATCGCTATCGTCAGTTAGGTAGGAAACTTCCCACTCCCCACTCGACTTACCTTGGGGGCTTGACCACCGCGGGCTTCGGGGCGGTCGCGGGCTTAGGACCCACGGTCGGTGCCTTCGCGGGTACTACTGAAGTCGATCGCAGATTCGGATTCTTGTGTGTCATCTGATCCGCGGAAACTTTTTTCAGCGCCCTCGTGATGTCAGCTCCCTGGTTGATCGATGCAAACAAAGCCGCCCGAGGATCGCCGCCGCCGCTCGGCGCAGCAGCTGGAGAAGGTCCAGACCCAAGCAAGAGCTCCATCGAGGGTGGTGGGGGCGGAGGTGGTGGAGCTCCTGCAGCAGGGGCAGCCGCAGGTGCTCGGACAGCGGATGCTCCGGCAGCCGCGGCCGCATCGCCGCCTTTCGGGTTCCACGTGAGTCCGGTGGTGTGGTACTGCTTGATGTAGGCTTGCAGTTGGTTCAGTACCTCGAGCCAAGCCTTGGTCCATTCGACGTGGGTTTTGTCCTTATCTTTGTACTCCATCAGAACCCTGTTAGTATAGAATTTGCAGGCATCGGCCATTTCCTTGACATAAGGTCCCGGAGTCGGGGCCACCGCAACCCATCCCAAGAACGGGATGGACTCGGAGATGGCGGACAAATGATTGTATTGCTTCGAAGTGCGGTTTGCCTCTCTGAAACTTTGAATCTTCTGTATGGCCTCCGACTGGGGTTTCAAGAGGGCCATCAGCTGATCTGTCGACGGTTTCTTGCTCTTTGACGCTACCTGAAACGAGACAAGGAAGAGGATGTCGTACTCGGCACCGTAAAATCGTCGGATGATAGAAATCAAGGGGCGGTTTTTCAACCGAGCACAAGGTGCTGCTCGATCCGACAGACCTGCACAAAGTTTCTCTGCAGCTTGAGAGCAGCGTCGACCATCTCAGCATGCTTCGCCACATCTGATCCAATCTGATTCGACAACTTCATGTAAGTGACGAACGGGCCTGAGACGATTTCGTCGAAAGCTGAGACGAAGGCAGCAACTTCCTCATCTGCAAGCAGCAGTCGAGAGTGAGGCGGAAGCTTCGACATTTATGGGACGATCGTCTTAAAATAGAAATATCGGAGCCCTCTACCCCCAATCCCTTTTCTCAATATTTCATCATGGTCCACCGGAGCGCCGGAGCTTCGGATCCTCTCACTATACCTGAAGGTGCTGAGCCCCCTCCGATTCTAGACTCCGAAGTCTCGAGCCTCGTAGCCACCGACTCGAGTCTCCGGATGAGGCTTTCGAGTTCCTGCGTCGACATCGTAGACGGGTTGCACTTCCCTGTGGATAGCGAGAGAAATTTATATCGATGAGCCAGGCGACAGCCTGAAGGGTGCGCAGGATATTTTTCGCGGCGTTTTGGGTGACGAATCTTGAACATTCTTGAGGAGCAAGTCCGAGACTTGCAATTCTAATTGCGTTGCATCTAATTAGGGCCTCGCTAGCTGTTGACGACGACATTTTTTCCAACGAAGCCCGGCTGAACGTTCGTTTGAGTAAACCAGGTGTCAACAGCTGTTCGAGTCCGTGCGCGTTATTGTTAGACGGAAATACTGCAACGCCAGCGCGAGAAGCTGTGATCTCACAAAGAGCAAGAGCTGCAACGAAAACGTGCGAACGTCCCCTAGATTCCCCGTCTTTCATCCCGTCTCAGGCACCCCGAAAGCGACCCCACCCTCCGATTATGAGCAGTAGCGTTAAAGGGTATCGTTCGATAGGTAAGATGAGGAGAAAAAAAGATTCCTGATCTAGAAGCCGATTCTCTCGAGCCGAATGAACGGAGAGAGCTAACGCACCTAATTCTGCCCTGCAGCAGTCGAGACGAGCGAGGCGGCCGAAGATTTCCAAAAGATGAGATCTGCTCATGACTCGAGCCGAAACTGACGGAATCGAAAGAATTATTTCAAACAAAAACCGAAGAAGATCAGTTCGCTGTGCTACGGAACCAGACCCGCGCGACGACTGTCTAGACCCCGTGCTACTGTTCTGCGAATTTCTCCGCTCTCGTTTCGGATCCAGAGAACTTCACGGTGTTGCGAGCTAGATTCAATCGAAGCCTGGGCGTCATTTTCCCCGTCGTTCTTGTTGTCGAGCTACACATATCCGCTTAGGTTGTTCCCGCATGCTGTACAGAGAGTGAAACCGCGGAACCTTGGCCTTGGCCCACAAGCTACGCCCACGTTCAATGAACTGAAGAGCAGGCGCGGGACTTCAACGCTGAGGTCGAGAGCACAGAGTCGATCGGCACGACAGCTGACGCAGCACGGTAACCACGTTGACAGCGACGAAGTTGCGAGAGTGAGGAAATGCGCCCGTGAGCAAACGAGCGAGCGACCGGGCGAAGTGCTTTCGAGCGACGTCGAAGTTGAAATGAGGGCGGCTCTGACCAATTTGAACACTGCTCGGACCCTCCGCCACAGTTGCTTGACTCATAGGAACTATGACGCCGGCCGCTCGTTGGAAGCGATGCCGTAGCCACTACGGCCGTCGCTGCTGCTATGGGTCTGGCTTTTCTCCGAAAACAACTTGAGATGGTCCACTGTTGCTAACTGACATGTAAGCTACCGGAGGAGCACCTGAACAGCTATTCCCAAATATGGGGCACACGCTTCAGTGATTCGCACAACTCCCAACGAAGTTGCACTTCGCTAAAATCTTCAAATTCAAAGAACCAGCCAACGATCCACTGAACGTTTTGCCACCGATTTTCACGCGAGGCCAGTCAGGAGCGTCTGCCGAGTCCGTTTGACAGCCGTCGGTTCTTTCACAGGCGAGGTGAGAAGAGGAGGAGCCGGATTTCTGAGGTTCCGTAGCTAATCCAGATCCGGACAACACCGCACCGGCAGCGTTATCCGGACGGGTTTCGGGGGAATTTTATCGAGTTCTTCCGATAAGATTTGGGAAAAGGGAGTTTCCACGAGCTCGACAGAGCCGCTTCACTCGGAGCGGCGTCAATGAGTCACGGTCGATGAGAACTCTCCGATTTCCATCTTCATCGGTCCGAAACTTACCCCGGTAAGGAGTTGTTGTCGAGGTTGTCAAACGTTGACCAACACCTCAAACAGAATTTCGCCGTCGTTGCTCTCTTGAAGGCGTGACTTTGCCTCGAGCCGATGCGACGGCTTTATACAGGCAAACACAAGTGAGAGAACTGACTGAGAGTTTCGCTCACTGTGTCTCGCGCTCTCGCTCTCTCTCTTTGGCTGGCTTCTCTTGTGTGTGTCGCGACAGCAGCGGCTTTGGTGCTGCTGCTACACTTTTACCGGTCGTGGTGGTGTTGGTGTTGTCGGCGGCGGCGGCGTACTGGTATGAGATGAACGCATTCCAGGTCCCCACCGGTGGCTAGCGGGCGCTTCGAGATTCTTCCGATTCCCATCTCTATCGCGGAAGGATTTTCCGGTCTTGTTCAGTCGTAGAAAGAGCTCGTCGACTGCGGAGAGCGTTCGAAATGACCTATCCGCATAACGAGAACGATTGCTTCTTCACCCCATTTCTGATTCTGAGGAGAAAACCCGCGCAGATGGAGATGGCTCCGAGCTGTGTTCCTTGATGAGAAGCTTTTTTGAAGGGACCGAACGTGTTTCCTAACCCTTATGAGGTGGCAAATCCCGAAAGTCCCTCCGAGCAGGTGTGATCTGCGGCAAATCTCCGGTATTGGCTCCTTGATTGTCTCCGTCAGTCTTTTGGATATCACGCGACGGAGATAGAGATTCCTCAGGCCGAGTCCCAGCCGCGAGATCATCGCTCACGGACCGTGGATGCTCTTACTTCCATGCTCGAACACGGTCTTCTTACTCGGGGATCCGCGATGCATTTCCAGTCCTGCATTGTCTATTTGCTCACTCTGTCACCGAGTGAACTTTCTCGATAAAAGTATTTTCTCTCCTTATGCTCTTCCGGCGCTTGAAGAGGATTGTAACAGGTTGCTTTGCGTTTGCGAGCGCTGGCCGAAATCGTTCCTGAACGATTTCCTCCTCACCCACAGAAGTTGTGCTCCGGATGATGATGGACTTCCACCCGAAGAAGCTAGAATAAGGTGGAGTAACTTCCGAATGATTCTCTACTGAGCACTCTGGATCTACATCATCGACTTCTGTCTGGGGACACAACTTTTCATGACGACTTCAGCAGCCGTCGAGAAATCTCTCGGCTATTCGGAATCTATGTATGATCCTTGCTGAAGGACGGCCTCCCAGAGGACTGCAATAGCGAGCCGCTGTCTCGAGCACCGCTTCGGTCAACATTCCTCATATCTGCGAGAGGCTGCCCCAGGTGGCGGGAATAAGATACATCCGATCAGAGCGGATTTTCATTCGAGCGAAGTCCCGTCGACGCTTTCCAAGGAAATATCGGTACGAACCCACCGGGAATCACGGTGTTCCTCACGACTCATGCCAGAATCAACGAAATTCCGACAATCCAAAAAAGAGAGCGTGAGTCAAATATTGCGAGAGTTTTATTCGACTCGGTGATATTTCTGGCTTCGAGCCATTTTCCTTCGTCATCCGCCCACTTGCATCTTCGCCTGCAGTATGCGAAATATTTTGCATCCGTCGTACCATTCGGGTCAAAGAGACCCCTAGCTAGGGACAGAGTGACTCCACGCGTCATCCCGGTTTATGTACAAGAACAAGTCCGATCGGGACCAGAGTTCGAATCCTTCTCCTAGGGCATTTGCATCGAGGGATGGGGCGATGTCGCAACGCCGTTCTCCCCCCGATAGGCTCTGTACTTGCTGATCTCATGCGGGAAGACCTGGAGGAAAAGTCTGACTTATCTTCCTGTTCTCTGCAAGTCCCCGGAATTCCCTATAGAATCAGGAATCAAGGCGCTTCCCTCCTTACCTTGCCCAGCTCCACAAGAAGGAGAGCTTTGAATCTTCTATAAGCGTCGATTTTACCCTTGACCTGCTCGTTTTTGGCCAGAGCTTTCTCCATGCAATCTTTCGTGTAGAGTTGAGGGTTCCGGGCTTCATCGATGTAGTCACAGACCTTCGGGGATTGCTCACGGTCATGAATAGAACTCTCCGAATTCACGAGCCGCCGTCCACTTGGTGGGAGCGGCCGCGAGAATTTGATCCATCCGATATACTCACCTCGAGGGGAACTTGAATATCCTCGACGTGCGGTCTGACGGCGGATATGTCTTGCATCAGAGACACTAGGGTTGTGATTTTCTGGTTCAGGGCGGGCTGACCTTGTGGCTGGAAGTCGGCTACAACGATTCCGAGCTGTCGAACATTCTCAATGAAGAGCTCGAGAGATGCCTCCAGTTGTTGGAGGTAGTTTGGGGATGAAGAAGTCATCTGTCGACAGAGAAATGAACCCCGCGTGAGAGGGGGACTGAAGCGAGATGATCGTGTCAGATATCCTCAGGCTGTCTAGACCGGGAAATACAATACTCGGAGGACAGGATAGAACGATACCTTCTCCGTTGACGTTTTAGAACTGATTGTGTGCAGATTCCGCCGGTCGGTTCGGGCTGCTCCTGGAGCAACAACAAACTAGATCGCGAAGCAAGATGGCGACACCGCCAGATCAGCCACAACTGGAAATGAAATTCGGTTTGTACGCTTGTACGCTTTGTACGGCGTAGTACGCTCGTACGTATGCTCAAGATGGCGTAAAATCGAACGTATGTTGAGTCTATGGGGAGACCTTACGGAAAGAGCGGGAGGTGAAGTTGCTCCGATTCGGAAGAATCTGTCGATGGGAGAGTGTAGATGATGATGTCGATGATCTGTGACGAAACGGGCATAATCGGGCGGCTGCTTCGGCTCTTCTTCGATGCGGATTTTTTCTTAAGATCTTTTTCTTAGGGATCACACCGAGATCGCGGAGGATCACACCGAGATAACGGAGGATCACATCGAGATAACGGAGGATCACATCGAGACAACGGAGGATCACACCGCTCTCCCTCCTCATCCCTCCCTCACTGACTCGATGGAATTGCGTAGCGGCGAACGGTCTTGATTTTCTCTAAAATTAGGTATTGGATGTTTTCTGCGGTGCGAGGCGAGAGACCTGTCTCGCCGGATGACGATTTTCTGTTGACCCAGCAAAAAGCATCCAGAGAAAGGAGGTAATGTCCGCTTTGTGCGGCGATGCGGGGAGACCAGCGAGTGCCAATCTTCTTTGATCGATGCTGCATTGTCGGATGCTACGGCAGCTACGCTGGGTCGCTCACCGAGACCGCCGACTTTACCTCGATTGATCAATCGGCACCGCAACGCGCTCTCGAATGCTCCGAGCAACCTCGATGGCCGGGCTTCCATCATACTTCCGGAGCAGTGTCGGGTGTTTGAGAGCGAACCCGAGGAGTTTCCGAGAGCGTCCTATTGGCTAACAGCGGCGCCGCGGACTCCAATCGAATACTCATCTTCGGCAGAGAGTCCACGAGTTCTTGGATCGGTTTAGTCGACAAGTTGTACGTCGACGGCACGTTCAGCCTCGCATGATCGCAGTTATCGCATGATTCACGATCGAATATCTTTCCAGAATCATGTCGCGGCTCTTGTGGTAAAATGTGATTATGTTCTCAGGTGTTCGTAGTTCTCGCTGAGCGGTCGAGGTGCGTTACGCCAGTCGCGTACGCTCTTCTCCCTGACAAGGGGGAAGAATCGTACAAAAGAATGCTGAGCCTGTTGAAAAACGCGTGTTCCGCCCTGAGTCCTACGAGCATCGTCATGGACTTCGAGCGAGCCATGATGAATGCGATCAGAGCTCGTTCCCCGCCAGAGACTTCCATTCACGGGTGTTTTTTCCACCTCGTGAGAAACATTAAGGTCCGCGTAGCCCAGGACAATCTGGAAGTTTGTTGAGGGACTCAAAAAAGTTCAGAAAGGTCGCGACTTCCAAGTTGACGCATTCGTAGCCGGCAATCCGGCTCCGAGGAAGAGAAGTAAATAAGTGGCGGCCGATGAGAACATACTGAAGGTTGCTCAAAATGCCGGGGATTTGACGCGTTTGGAGTATCTTCGAGGAGTTGCTCACAACTTCTTCATGGATGCGTGATCCGTTATCCTTCATTCGATCCTCCTCCTCCTTCTTTACGGTGTGATATACCGATACGGTCATCGGTATAAGTTAGGTAATTCCGCTGGATTCGAGACTTGCCTCGGTATCAGGGCGAGCATTGAATCATGATCTTTCTTCGAAGAGTATATCGGAGTTGAGTTTAATGGGAAGATATCTCTTAAGGATCATCTTCTTTAGGCTGTGACGCCGGTCGCTGAGAAGGTTTTCGTACATTGTGAACGATCGTTCGACATCGGCATCTGAGAAAATCGCGTATCTGTATAAATTTACGTTTTCTTCCGACATGGTAAGCAATTTATCGAAGTCGGAATTCTTCGCGAAGATTTCACGCCTGAAGTTCCTCTGATTCAAAGTACCGTAAATGCTCTAATTTGAGGACCTGCCTAACTACTTCCCAAGTTCCTTGAACCTACCCGTATAGTAGATGGTGCCTGTAGAGTAGAGGGTGCCCCTGTATATTTTCTACTGACTCTTGAGAGTGTCCGAGGAAGCTTGGAACAATGACGAGAGAATCCCTGCTCGCTGAAGTTACTCCACGTGAACATCTCTTTTCGTCACAGAAGGGAGTTACGTAGCCCAGCTCATGTACCGACCACCGCTTAATGCACCGCTGGGCGCAGCGGGAGAAGGCTCGCCCATGTTCTAAGTTCCCCATGTCTGCCCGTATAAAAAGCCTGCTCTCATGGTGGAGAGTGCCCGTGTATCTTCCAAGTTCCCCAAACCTGTCACAGATTGCCCTTATATTGGATAACAGATAACTCTTCGGCCTCAATTATCTTCTGGCGGCAGGTGACTGTTTCTTGCTTATAATTTATATAATGCAGAGTGCCGTTATAATGCAGAGTACCCTACTATTAGAGCTCTCATGGTAACCCGAGATTCCGTCCGAGAGCGTACCGAAACACGAATACTCATATACGTGTTCCATCAATAATAATTCAAGTACATCACGATCATGTCACCGAGCCCCTCTCTCATCTCGCCGAAAGGGCAACAATTCCGACTTCCGGAGTAAAAGAGTTGGAGACATCATTTGTGGGTGTAAGATCGGAAATAAGGCGGGGTCATCCATCGCACTTTTTTCCCCTAATGCAGCAGTTCTCTACGAAAAATAAGAAAGTGGGATGCTCCATTTCCCTTCATCGTAGACATCAACCCTGGGAAACGAGGTTCAGATTTTTTCTCAATGGGACTCGGAGTTCAATCGGAGAATCCCACGCCAATTAAAAACGAAGTAAGAGGCAATCTGCATCTCCAGCTATCGGCTGGGCTGCGTGTAGATCTGAGCCTGATCTGTGGGGACCGCCCCTCGATCCCGTATATCCCATATATGAGGAATATCTTTCATGTCTTCCGTCGTCTCGACAACATCAGGAGCCATGGCTCGAAAGGTTCTATTCGGATCCATGCAAAGAGTCCCCGAGGGATGAGACCTCCCGTGAGGTTCGACGAATACTTGTTCCTTGAATCAACATAGCTTCGAGCATTATGCGACTTCCCCAAGTTTTCGTACCGGAAACCTAGCCGTATTTACGCTCAATCGACCCAGATGCTTTCCGAGGGCATCTGGCGTAGGCCCACACGACCTTGCTCTTCTCTGTTTGATCATTGGCAGGAGGTCTTCCGGGATGGCTTCGCTCACTCACGTTTCCTGAAGTGAATCCTCCTGAAAGCATGAAATGTTGTTGACGCCTGAACGAAACATGCTCTCCTAGAATACGAATCGGAATAACCTACTCAGGACTCTTCTCCCTGAGTCGCGATGATACCAAGTCGAATCGCCAGGGCACGGAGCTACTGATCGCGGGCGGCCCGTGGAATACTCTAATTTGGGAACAGAGCGTCATTCTCATCGTGCGCCTTGCAGTCGGAATCTGAGATTTCTTCCATGGAAAAAAATCCTGGCTCCCATCGGCCAGAGATTCGGACTGACAACCAATGGATCTTCAGAGCTTGGTGGCTTGATAGCAAATCCCCCTGCGCGCCCGAGAGTCAAGCCGAGAAAATTCCGATTGAACGCTGACGGAAATATTTCTTAACTTCTATGCTTCTCTGTACGACTCAGAGCTTGACAACGAAGCGGTCGTGCGTCTGAGCTTGACTACGCTAGACGATAGGCGCTGTCAGGCGGCTCGACCAAATCCACGACGCCATCGGAAGCAGGGGAGAGAGAAGTGCTTGCCTTCCAGGAGATATCGGCCTCCCTCAGCATCGACCTCGGCCCCAGCATTCGAACATAGTCGCTCCCATTGAACATGCGAGTTCCTCTGAGGCCGGCTTTCAACGCCAGCCGTGTAAACCTTCTCT